ATTACTATGGACCCAACCTTTCATGTCAATGGATCAAACGATCAAGATGAACATTTGTCGGCACAAAATCCATATTTCCGTAGTATTTTTGTAATGAATACTTTTGGACTCATCGAAAGATATTACGAGTAACCCCATTAAACTTTCGTCTATTTCTACTGTGTATGAGTCCCCCCCCCCTCCCCGGTAAGCTCGATCACTACGACACTAAAGGATGACTCGATCATCTAACTTGAATATACCATCTTGGTTGTTGTAGTCTCCTAATGACAAATAGAAAGGAAAGGAAGGTTGCCAATAGCTTGATTTGTTACGAGGACTTCAATTGCAACATATTATGAGATTGTGATGGTTGAGTTATAATAATTTTTCAAAATTTTTAAAAGTGATAGGAGGAAAACAAGACAAAACTTTGAGACATTCTTGTTGATTCTTTAATATATATATAATCTAGAATGATTTCTTTCCCTTACAAGTTTAACTATTGATGTCAAAATTATATGAGAAACACATTCGAATTACATATTCTTCATGTTCCATTGTGCTGTAAAGTTATCGAACCTCATATTCGAATAATAACAATAATTCAAACAGGTAATATCCTTTAATTTACCACAAAACATGTAAATATAAATCATTTAATCAACATTTTTTTTTTATAGAATTAATCAACATATTTCACATACACCCAATATTACAAAAATACGAACTATTCCACCCATTATAATTCCAAACTACAAATACAAAATATTGGAAACGACAAAAACAAGGCACTGGGCAAAGACGGTAATTACTCGAACTTTCGAGGGGCAGTTCCGGGATGACGGAAGCAATAAATACCAAAATTAAATTCCTCCACGGATTTCTCTCACTTCTACTTAGCCTTCTCTCTCCCTCCCACCATTTCCCTCTCTTTCTTTCCCATTCTCATCCCACTAAGTAACTGTGTCGTGTCTTGCGGGATTCACAGTTTCAAAGAGAGAGAGAGAGAAAGCCAAAAGGTACTTCTTCTTCTCCCACCTCCTTCTCTTTCTCTCTGCCATTTCTCTTCCGTCATTCTGGATCCCTCCCTGAATCTAGGGCACTTCTCCAACTGGTAAGAAAATCCCCCTTTCCTCATGACAGTCTCTCATAACTGACCATAGATTCGGCTTTCAGTTCCCATACCCTCACTATTGGCCGTCTGATGGGTTTGCTTGCCTCTTTCTCGAATTCGCAATGTGTGTTTTACTGTGTAGCTCGATTTTGGGCGATTGGGTTTGATTGGTTTGCTGATTGAGAAATGTAGATTGTTTGGAGTAGTAGCTTTCTACGGAGTTGATTTTTAAGGGAACGTTCTCCTGTTTGCGGTTTGGGCCTTTGGGGGGTGTTCTCGGATTCTTGTTTTCTGCAATTTTAACTTCTGGGTTGGGATTTGTTTTTGGAATGTAGCTAAGGTGTCTGAGTTTTTATGTTCGTTAGAGAGATGGTGGCAGGTTTAAAGTTGAATGCTAACTTGTTTTTAGTTGCCCAGAGAGAACAAGGGATGGCCTTTTTTTGGGTGCTTTACAAATACTCAGTGATCGTTCTCATGGTTGGTGGTTCTTTTATTAGGATTTGTTTTAACAGTGTATTATATGTATTTTTTTTTGTAAGACTTGGATGGTAAAATTGTGGTTAGATCCAATGTATTTGCGTTGCGGTTTCTTTGTTAAATTTCTGACAAGGATCCAGTTTTTGTTTCCCCTCTTGAGATTGCTTCCCTCTACAAGATCAGTAAATGTTGTTGACTTTTTTGATTCGTGACCAAATAACTGTGATTGCCTGTATTTAGGTTCATTGTCTGGCATTGTTAGGAAGGTATTCCTAGATCCATTACTTTGTCATCTTGATGGTAGCTCTGGCTTTTTATTGAGGAACTTTTGGATCGATAATACTTAAGTTGGTTTGTGTTTTGACTCGCATTCTAGATTATATGCTCTTTTTTCCTGCTGTTTGGGTTCTTCTCACACTACTGCTGTAACTAGATTCCGTTGCTCACCAGGATCTATCTTCTTGGCTTGCCTGCAGATATTTTCTTCGCAAGATGGACAACATCAACAGCTTCTGGCAGTTGGGTGACGAGCTTCGAGGGCAATCAAAAGTCTCCGAGGATCATAAGTGGTTTGTGGCTGCATCTAAACTGGCAGAACAAACGAGGCTAAAGGGCGAGCGTATGAACAACTTGGACATATCAAAAGGCATGGCTGAAATGAGGCCACCAAGGGAAAAGATTGGGTTCCAGGAAGAGAATAAGTTTGAGAGCCTCAACTTTAGCATGTTGAATTTGGAGTCTTCCAAGGTGATGATGGAAAATGTGAGCAAGAACCCTTTGAGGAGCGGCGTTTACAACATGAATGCGGTGTATCAGAAGAACAATATGAGCACCATTGGGAATCTGAATATGAATCTTCCTGGTAGCAAGTATAGCGTCAACATGGTCAGTGAGAAGGAGCTTAATCACAACAGCAATATTGACAACAGTGGTGGAAATGGTGCGGTGGATAAACGATTCAAGACACTGCCTGCAACTGAAACGCTCCCAAGGAATGAGGTGCTTGGAGGATACATATTCGTTTGTAACAATGACACAATGCAGGAAGACTTGAAGCGCCAGCTATTTGGTAGGTTGTGTTCTCCTTGGTAGATATACCTTCTGATTTCCTTCTCAAGCTTTACAAGTGGATTACTAGACCACTAAAACATGCAATTATCTATACTGCAACTCGAATTGCCTTTGTATGACCAAGAAGGTGATTTATATGCTCTTGTTCATCTAGGACGAGTAATGGAGTTTGCTTTTATGAGTCAAGATGTGTTAATTAATCACTTGTTTTGATAGGTCTGCCTCCAAGGTATAGGGACTCTGTTCGGGCAATAACACCTGGCTTGCCTCTCTTTCTCTACAACTACACGACCCACCAGTTGCATGGTATCTTTGAGGTAAGTTGTTCTTGTTTTTTTGAATAAGTTAATGGTTCAACAATTGCATTAAGATTCAGTTGCCAATGCTTAACTAATGTTATGGACAACTGTAGGCAACAACCTTCGGAGGTTCAAACATTGATCCAACTGCTTGGGAAGATAAAAAGTGTAAAGGAGAGTCGAGGTTTCCTGCTCAGGTAAGATCAGAAAGCATCAATGTTATGTACCTTTGTGTAATATTTATAAAAAACTCTGGGCTGATTCAAACAAATTTTCTTGCTGTAATTTGTTGGCTATATAGGTGAGGATCCGTGTTAGGAAGTTCTGCAAACCATTGGAAGAAGATTCATTTAGGCCAGTATTGCACCACTACGACGGTCCAAAGTTTCGCCTTGAACTCTCTGTCCCTGAGGTACTGCTTCTAAACTGTCACTCATTATGAATCTTTTCATCAATCCTTTCGTTCAGAACAAGCATCTAATGCAATTCAATCCTGGTTTGTAGACCCTGGACCTGTTAGACCTCTGCCAGCAAGCCGGGTCAGCAGCATAAGCGAAACAACTTCACGCTAGCACGCAAGTGTTGGTGGCGTTGAGGAGGGTATGCCAGCTTCCTACTTTTCTGCAGATTTTCCGTTAGAGTGCAAGCTTTTGGACGACGAATCTCGTGGAGAAAAGTACAGGGGAATGTGTGTTTGCATTCGTGCAGGGTCTTGAGCTGAAGAATAATGTTTGTTGTGGTTTGTGTGTGTGTGTGTTGTCTAATGGCGGAAGGTGCTTTTGGGTTCCAGCGCCGGTAGTGTGGTCTCTGCTATAATAGTAGGTGTAGTATCTATCTATATATATTCTCTATAAATAGAGGATTTGCAAGATGTCAAACGAATGAGTTATAAAATTATGTAATGGTGACTGAATCTCCTCGCAAGTGGGGGAAGTCCCTTCCTTTTTCTATGCATGTTTGGTTTCTGAATCCAAACTTATAAGAAAGAGCTATAAAAGATGGTGTTTAAGTGTATGGTAGTGTCCATGTGCTTGATTCTTTTTGAAATTTTAAATTGCACTTCTTAAATACCACTTGTGAGTTGTGATTGAGAAGGTAATGCCTAGGCTGTGTCATAAATCACGTGTATTCATTAGTTCATGTACAGGTAATCAGATCTCCCAATATAGAAGAAATCCATCAATTGTCTGTATCAAATTTACATTCATTTTGGTGAAGAGTATGTTATTACAAGTAAAAGCCAATTTGACTTGACTGGACAGGTTACAAAGGCCAAAATTTATCCCTGACCAAAAATATTTTTGTTGTTTGTTTTTATACTGTTGTGTTTCTTCTATGACAATTTTCGATATGATCTGCGAGAGCCGATCTACTCCGACCTGTTTGGGGTGGGTATTACCCTACTCGTAGTAGTGTGGGGTGAGGTATGTGTATTGTTTCCAACCTGTCCTGTCCATCCTGTTTCGTTCTCGACCTGTTCTATTATGATTTTCATCAATATCTACCTGTATGTCTCATCTTCAGATCCAATTGTTCATTCTACTACATGCCTCAGTGTTTTGTAAAAAAGTTAAATATATACAATTTTTTCAAATAATACATTAGGATGGATCGATCCGTCGCGAATATTACCTGACCTGACCTGACATGCACTTAGTACGGATCAGACATAGGTATTGAGGTACCCAACCACCCCTCCATACTTCTATATTGTTACAATCTTGGTACAACCACAATAATAAAACTATACTAAAGACGGCCATAATGTTTGGATCAATATTGACTTGTTTTTGCTAGAAGTGTTCCATCCATTAACTCAAATGGGCGGGAGTTTTGTTTCAAAGTGAGATGGGTGGAAGGTGGACAGAGGGCCCAACAAATCAATGTTAGGATTGGATTCTTTTGGCCGATGATTGTTGCGCCTATTATGAGATTGGGAACAAGAACAACTCATCATGTGATATTGTGATTACAAGGAGTCAAAAGGTATACCATGTTGATTGATTTGAAATCAAAGGCGAAACAAATGGATTTTGAATCACTCATCCGAATGATAATGCTTTAACCTTGTGCATCTCCAATTAATCCATAAGACAAAAATATCAGATATGAAATGATGTCCTTTTTTTTTGGTAAAACATATGATGTTCTTTCACGTAGTAATGCAGAAAAAACACGCAAAGAGTCAGCTCGATCCAATTTCATACCACAAATTTCTGAAACATTACATAAGCAATCTGCTAAAATTCGCTCCAGAAAGCACACAAGTATATTGTATTATGATACATTACACATTTTGTAAGTAACATCTAATATTTCTGAGCATTTTGTTCAAGATTTGCAGCATTTGGGTGGTGGATTGCAGCGGACAGACTGCAGCAGCAGCACCCGCTTGGTTCCTTCCAAGTAGACTGTCAACATCTGGAACAATTTCTCTTTCGTACTATACTTGGTTTGAAGGTTCCGTGCAGGCAATCCACAACTCTAGCTAAACAGGGTAGGGCAAGGGACAAGCTAAACCGAGGCTTGCACTAGAAAAGCACGAATTCTTTGCAACAGCTCGGCCTTTATCGAATCAGGAATCGAGGCTGCATAACAGACACAAAACAGGAATGGTTTAAGGCTCTGAGAAATTTCAACCAGTTTGATGGGACTGTTCTCTAGCTTTTAGAGCGAAAAAGGATTTGCAACTAGAAGCAGTGAGAGTGTAAAAGATATCATCTACCTCTGCCTTTAGGTGTAATCACATGTACAAGATCATCCACAGTCACGTTACTCCTGCCTTTCTTCTTCATGAAAGCCCTGAAATGAAGCAAAAGTACCAATATATTTCCAAAATGTGTGGACATGTGCAGTGAAGTCTGCAACTTTGACTTGAGAAAAGAGGGGCTAGTTAACAAGCTCGTCAAACACTCAGAAGATGCAAGCATAACTTTGATCATAACATCCTGAATTCCTCACATCACGTTCAAACCAAATGCTTGCAGGAGTATTCTTCGCTTATCCGCAGTCTCTTTAGCAAATGATATATCAACGAGACTCTTTTAAGGCACAGACGTTCAATCAATAACTGAGCATTCAAGGGCTATAAGCTCGCACAGGTTGGACAACGACGGTGAAGTTTCGTGATTGCATAATGCACACCTGAAGCTGTCGAGCCATAAATGGAACAGCCTATTCATAACTCTACACGGCAAAGGCTGAAATATGGTGGAAAGCATCCCATCTACTCGTTCATAATCAATAATCCATGGGATGATTTCATTCAAATGAGAGCATGCATGATGACCACTGAAATACTTCGGTGAGGCAAAAGCAATCGCCATTGGTAAAGCAGCGGATCAAATGCGCAAGCTATGTGTTCTTCTCTTATCCTAGTTCTAACCAAGCGAAAGAAAATTTACCTGCAGAGAGCTTTCATCTCGTCTTTCCATCCACACTCGATCAGCCTCTCCCTCAGAAGGTCCATCAACCGCTCTTTCTCTCCACTCTCGACCAACTGTTAAATCAATACAAAAATTCAATCCACAAGTTGCCGACAGTTCGTATCCCCGAAAACCGACGAGAGTTTCCGAAATCGATTACTCAGCCGAACCTTAACGTTGATTACTTCCTGAAGCGAAGGCTCCTTCTCTTCCTGCTCCTCCACCGGGTCTGGCGTCGGAGGTCGATTCACCGACTTCCTCCTGTGACAAAAAGGAACCGCGCCAAACACTAGTCAGTCGAACCCTCGAATCGAGGATATTGATTTCAATCAGTTTCGTGGAGTTCCGAGCTGCGGGAGAGTCTGGAAACCCTAGCTCTCACATTTCACAGCAGAAGAAGGCAATTCAGGGAAGAACAGTCGGAGGATTTCTGAAGCTCTTGACGACGATGATGATGAGGAAAGACGAAAGTGGGGGCCAGAGAAAACGGATTGAGAAGAAGAAATTGAGTCCGTACGACGCCGAAGGAGGAGCAGGAGAACTCTGCAGAAGAGCTCCGGCTAGAAGAATAGAGAAGACGAGGTTTCCCCACTACAGGTGCCGAAACCTGATTGGTCCTCTGGCGCGGGTCTGCCAATTCAGGGTGTAGGTGCAAGTGATTTTCCCACGGCGTTTGAGGGATGCTAACTCAGTAACTATTAACTAACCAGTAACCTCCAAACTCCAAATTAGTTTCTTTGTAAAAAATAAAAAAAAAAGTCGTACAGCTCTGCTTTGCTGTCTAACCCTTCCATAATTATATTCTCTTCCTCTTTCCCTTTTTGTCTTTCTTCGTCTCACATTTCTTCTCCGTCACTCGAATTATTTCCCGTTCGTCGTCATCTACCCTTCATCCGGTACCATTTCTCTGCTTCCTTCATTATTGCATCGCTGTATCTTTTCTTCCCCCCTTTGCAACCAAAGCAAAGCGAGTAGCCTTTAGAATTTAGATGTCCGATTTCTTCTCTCTTTAGTTTCCTTTCAGTTTTATTAAAACAATAAAGAAAAAGATAAATCAGACGCGGATTAGCATCGCAGCTCCACCATTCTCTCTCGCCCGTTCTCTCTCTCTCTCTCTTCGAACGGCGGCGGCCGCTCTCTGTGTACGGTTTCTGTTATGGCGTGGTAGTGACTGTTGTTGGCCTGGAACGGAGCACCGACGGTAGCAGACGGACGAATCTCGGTTTGAGTCCCGTTTGGTTTTGATTTCTTCTTCGTCAGTTGAGTTCTGGTTTCGATTTGGAGAATTCGTAAAGCCGGGGAACGAGTAAAAAGAGATCGCCCGGGGTGAAGGCGGAAGAAGAAAGAAGATGAATCTGAGGAACGTGGTGATAGGGATGCTCTTCATCACTGTGATTGCTCCCATTGCTCTTTACACCGACAGATTCGCCGCCTTCGCTCCCTCTTCCTGTCAGTTTTCTTTCTCACTTTCATTCTACTTCTTCGATCGATTCTTTCCCCTTCGCTCATTCTTTGTGTCTTCTTTTTCTCTGCAGCTCGAATCGATTTCTTTGAAGACGTCACTTCCTTCGTAAGTTTCATTCTCTTTCTCTCTTCGGCTTTCGTTGAATTGAATGATCGATAGGACGACGGAGAGGTTCCTTATCTTCTGCTGCTCCTTTTTTTCCAGACTGTTCCTGCTGATTCCCGCCGTCTCAACGTGTTGCCTCAGGTACAATTGATTCGTATTTCCGGCTTAAATCCTTTCGCCTTTGTATGGCCATCACATATCCTCAGTTTCCGCCATTGATTGGCTTTATAGGAATCGTCCACTGTCTTCAAGGAGCCGATTGGGGTTGTTTACACCACCAACTCCACCCAAGAAGAGGTGGTGGCGTCTTCTGATGATGGGATTATTCAAGATTCAATTGCAGCAGCAGCAGGTGATTCATCGTCGTGCAAGCTCGTTCCACTAGTGTGGTTTCGTTGGCCAATTTTGAAATTAATCCCTTTGTTTTGGCTCATTTGTTTTAGATTCGCAATCTCAAGCTGTGAGAGAGCACAAATCTAGAGTTTTGTCGGCGACTGAGGAACGAGTGCAATCTCAAACGGATGCTGTCATCAGACGGGTCACTGATAGTGTCAGTGCTCAGCAGGAATCGAGGAGTGATGGCACGGATGCTGCCTCCAACTCCATGGACCCAAAATCCTTGGCTTCCAACGTTGTTACCCAACTTGCATCTCAAGATCCGGTATGCCATTTGAAGCTTCTCATGCCTTAGCTTGAAGAGATCACTCCACTTTCGTTGTGTTTTGTTGTGGTAGTGTTTAGTTTATTGTCTGATTGTGATGGCTGATGTGAGAGCTTTCCCACCTGGTAATTGGTAATTTTGTCTATTATTTTGCCGACTCCCAATATGGTGATCACAATCTCAAAGGAAACTTAAACCCCCAGTTACTTGGAGTTGAATAATGTATGTAGAATATTCCTCCATTGGCTTTCGTGGTAGCACAACTTCGAGTTTTGAATTGATCTTCCAATATATCCTGTTATTCATTTCCTTGCAATAGAAACTGAAATCATTCCCACTGGAGAAGGAATTTGAGAACGCTTCTGATATGGCCTTCTATGTCGATCGAGTATTTGGTATCACATACAGTCATGATTTAGTGCAGAACAGAAAAATGTCTCTCCACTTCTTTTATGTAGCAATAATGATTCTTTATGTTGAAGTTACTGTTTTGAGTTTAACCAGTGGACTTACTTATTTTCTTTGTGATATTTTTTTGGCTAGTTTGAGCGAAAACCAGGTGCGAAGCCCTACAAAGCTAGTGGAAAGGATCACCCGAAAGCTAAAGTGGGTAAACAGACAGATCAAAATGCTATGTCAGATATTCGAGTACGTCAACTAAGAGACCAGCTGATTAGGGCAAAGGTATACCTGTCACTTCCTGCAACAAAGAATAATCAACACTATACGAGAGAGCTCAGATTGCGGATCAAGGAAGTTGCACGTGTCCTTGGCGAAGCAACTAGAGACTCAGAGCTGCCCAAGAAGTAAGGCTTATTTTCCTGAATCTAGTATGCGATCACTGTAATCTCTGATTTCCATTAAATTGGTTTGATGTTCTTCATAGAACTATAATGAAATATACAATCAACTATTAGTGTTGTCTTATTGATTAAAGTTGATCTGTATGTAGTGCCAATGAGAAGTTGAGGGCAATGGAACAGTCCCTAACAAAAGGCAAGCAGATACAAGATGACTGTGCTATGTGGGTGAAAAAGCTTCGTGCTATGCTGCATTCCACGGAGGAGCAGCTCCGTGTGCATAAAAAGCAGACCATGTTCTTGACTCAATTAACTGCCAAAACCCTCCCCAAGGGTCTTCACTGTCTTCCTTTGCGCCTGACAACCGAGTATTATTTGTTGAATACTTCTCAGCAACAGTTTCCAAATCCGGAGAAATTGGAAGATCCTCTGCTATATCATTATGCTTTATTCTCAGATAATGTTTTAGCAGCTGCAGTTGTGCTGAACTCTACTATTACACATGCTAAGGTGAAATATAGTTTGTCTTGCAGATAATAATTACAATGCTAGCAAGATTAGTACAAGCATGAATGGTAGATCCTGATTAGATTTGTTTGGTTTGTTTGCAGGAGCCTTCAAAGCATGTTTTCCACATTGTTACGGATAGGCTCAATTATGCAGCAATGAGGATGTGGTTTCTAGTGAATCCACCCGGCAAGGCAACTGTTCAAGTTCAGAATATCGAGGAGTTCACATGGTTAAATGCAAGTTACAGTCCTGTTCTGAAGCAGTTGGGATCTCCATCTATGATAGATTACTACTTTAGGTCACATCGTACTAGTTCGGATTCAAATTTGAAGTATCGGAATCCAAAGTACTTGTCCATTTTGAACCATCTCCGGTTTTACCTGCCAGAGATATTCCCAAAGTTAAACAAGGTGCTGTTTGTTGATGATGATATAGTAGTACAGAAGGATCTCGCTGCCCTTTGGTTCCTTGATTTGAAAGGTAATGTGAATGGTGCAGTGGAGACTTGTGGAGAGAGCTTCCATCGTTTTGATCGGTATCTCAACTTCTCCAATCCTCTGATCTCTAAGACTTTTGATCCGCATGCCTGTGGATGGGCATACGGGATGAATATCTTTGATTTGGATCAGTGGAGAAGGCAAAACATCACTCAAGTGTATCACAAGTGGCAGAAGCTGGTGAGTGACAAACTTAACTAGCACTAGTCTATTTTCCGTCATCAATCGACTTGTATTGATATTGTATTGATTTATTGGTATGTGGGGAATGGATGTGCAGAATCACGACAGAACGTTGTGGAAGTTGGGAACACTGCCGCCAGGTTTGATTACGTTCTGGAAACAAACCTACCCATTGGAGCGATCATGGCATGTGCTGGGGCTGGGGTACAACCCAAGCGTGAACCAGAAGGAGATAGAGAGGGCAGCAGTGATACACTACAATGGTAACATGAAGCCATGGCTGGAGATAGGATTGCCCAAGTACAGGGGGTATTGGGCCAAGTATGTGGACTACGAGCACCCGTATTTGAGGGAGTGCAACATCAACCCTTGAACACAGATAGGCAAGGCGCTAAAATGGTTTGGTCTGTAGGGAGGAGGAGGAGGAGTTGAGAGAGTGAGTAGCACCTATTCTTTGTCTTGTACGCAGTTTGTGTGTATTCCTTACCTTTTTCTTGTTCTTTGGAGGGTATATGTTTTAATTTTTGGTTTCCCACTCCTTATCATTTTCTAAGTAGATTGAGCACACAGCAGAGAGCATGCAATGTAAAAAGTGTGATGAAATTTTTTGGAGTAGGATGGGGAAAGAGTATTAGTAGATTGGGTATTTTGTAAATTGGAATAAGATTTATGGTTGGTTGGGAAGAAAGGAAAGGTTTCTTCCTTTCAAGAATTACCTTGTCTAGGCCACGTTACAAGCTTTTTTATGCTAATATGCGTTCCTATATACACTATATGAATTTTACCTCGAGTTAGGTTGTTGTGAAGGTTTGTCATGAAGAAAATACCTCATTCCGTCGTATTTTATTCTTGTTTTGTGTTATTTATGATATTTCAAGTGTTATACTCGTCATAAATTGATTGGATATCAATTTCATTCGGGCACGTTTGCAATGTTTAGTAGCAAGAAAAGAGTCTTTAGACAAGTCACAAGTCACAACTATGTCTATGAGGTCAAGGTGACAAACCCTCCGACACAAAAATGTTGCTTTCACGACCAAACTTGTAGCAAAAAAGGGTTTTCCCCACGAGAAAGATTATGATCTCGATTTTGAAGTCAAGGAGTCTTTATGATTTACTGTACTAATGGATGGAATTTTGTTGGGGGTAATTCCAAGTCGAAGTCGAACCAGTACGCGAGCACGTCTCTGATTCAGATTGAGGGAGTGAACACTAAGAAAAAGGTGAACTGGTACCAGGGCAAGCACTTGGCGTATGTCTACAAGGCTAAGGTCAATACCAACCGGAGCCACTCTCGTTGCATTTGGGGCAAAGTCTCTAGGCCTCACGGTAAAGTGGCATTGTCCGAGCTAAGTTCAAGTCCAACCTGCCTCCCAAGTCCATGGTTAGCTGCCTGATTAACTGCTTCCCTTTGCAGTATGTGTTTTGGTTTTTCATTCATGATACTAAGTGTGTGCTTGTTGAACTTTACAGGGCGATAAGGTCATTGTCTTCATGTATCCAAGTAACATCTAAACTTTTCAAGGTTAACAATATTATTAGAGCGTTAACCTTTTCGTTGAATAGTTCGGCAGTTGTTTAGGAACTATTTCTCTGTAATGCAACCTTTCCAACTGAATGGAGTAGGTTAATATTTAGATTGACATTAGAAGCTTGTTTTAATTGATGACTGAGTTGAGTGGAGAATTGATTGGGTGTTTTAGCTGTTAGGTTACATAATACAGTCTTGATTCCATTTGGGATCACAATGTGTTCGTTCTAGGTTAATGTGCTCCAAGAATGAGTACAGATTGGACATGGTTAGTGTAGAAATGAATGTGGATTAGGTTCCAATAGTTGTAAGATTTAGATATATGTAGACTAGATTCTCTATACTTCAAATGGAACTATCTCTGCAGGGTTGTTATCCTCTACTGTTACTGTACATGGTCCTCTGGTGTAAACATCTGTCGCATTCTGCTATTGTGGTTGTTGTTAACCAGCAAATTGTATTTGAATTAACTTTAGGTACTATCATTTTCTTTCTTGGTCAACTTGTTATTGGATTTTTTTCGTTATTTATTGGTACATCAGTTTTGCTTCATGCTCTTATCTAATATTAGTTGTGCTCTTATCCATATATGGTATTTTCAATTTGGTGCCGATAAAATATGCTGCCATGACAAATGCATTGATTAAAAACAAAATTATAGATTTATGGTTCTTCAACTATGCAATTTTATCCCACGAAAAAAACTATGCAATTTAATTCTTGTGTGTTTCATGCATGTTTTTATTATAAATATTGGTAGATTCGGATCTCTGTTATGACGGACTCGTCGCGTCGGTATCTCAAAGTTTACACATCATAGAAGTAATCTACCGATAATCTTTGTCCAGGCTGGGGCCCACATGTTAGACCAAGCTGGGTCAATAAGGGATACTTTTGACGTGGTCAATGCACAAATTAATTCAGATTTCAATAGTGAGAGATTAGCACTAGCTTGATTGAGCAATCCAAAAGGACTTGTCAAGAATCTCTCTTGAAGTGATTAATTCGTTGGCACTGATGAATAGAACAAAGTTAGAGGAGGTATAGAGAGAGATGAGTCGGGACACGCGATTTTAACGTGGTTCGGCCAATATGGCTTTACATCCACGTCCCGGAGATAGTTACCACTATCTCACGAGAGACTCTAACTTTTATTGAAATAAAAGACTCTCTAACCTATGAAATTGAAACAACCTTGACACTTCGTGTCAAGAACCAAATAGGTGCAACTCCACACCTATTCAACCCTTAGCTAAATCCAAGCTAAGCTACCCACTCAATCAATCAAGGCAACACTCTTAGTTTGACTTGATTGAAGAGCAATCCACCTAGTGCAACTCCCAAGCAAGAATCCCCTCTTGCTCTTGCACTAGTCCCTATTACAAATGCCCTTCTACCCTAAAACCCGACCTAGCTCGAATATCTCAATCCCCGAGATATCAAGCTATTCACACCACGAAATATGATCACACAATTTCGCTATTACAAGAGAGAAGAAAACTTTGCAAAAGGTATCTTCATCTGTAAATGACTCTCCTATTTATAGTTGATGTGAGCCTTCATTTCCTTTTATTTGTAATCCTTTATGCGGCAAGTATCTCCTTGATTTGATTCCCTTTTGTGCTTGATATGGTAACTCCTTTGAGGACAAGCAATCACTTTGAATTGTTTCCTTTTTCCTCATCATGATTGTGATATTTCTGCATAAATTGTTAGTTCCACTAATAACATATATTCAAAGCAAAATATCCCATGAGATTCAATTTGCTGAATCAAGCTTCTTGACTCAACATTCTCCCCCTAAGCTTGATTTAGCATCCTGTTACTGCATATGCTTCATCCATCATAAGTCTCAAGATTTAAGAATTGACAGTCATTATTAAGAAAACAAATTACTTCATTCATCCTGAGTATAGCTCAGGGCATTATTCAATCAAAACACTCAACAGCGCAAAACATGATTTAATACTCCCCCTGACTCAATCTAGACCTTAAGAGCAATAATTCAAATAAGCCATTTAAAAACAGCAACAGCAACAACTCGAAACCCAAGCTCCCCCTAAACCTAAGCTCCCCCTAAATTAAGGCTTTTAATTGTTTTGCTCGAGATCATGATTCTCATAGAGAACCACTCCTTGAGAAGTTTTTTGATTATTGAGACGCTTGAGAACTCTGTTAGAAGGGCGAGGTCCTTTAGCCTGTCGCTTGAGCTTGAAGGGACGAACAGCAGCCGAAGCAGATGCACCACCAGCCGCGGACGCCTCGTCTTTGGCCTCTTCGTCTCTTTCTCTAATAGCAGCGTCTGTGGCCCCATGATCATCTCCCCCTGATGATAAATCAACAATGGGAGGAAGCCCCGCCACGGCAAGCACTTCGTCAATCGAGGGATGAACAAAACCGTCAGAAACAGTGACAAAGTCAGCCAGAGGAACACCGAGACGATGCAGCAGCAACGTAATCAACCCAGCAAAGGGAAGACCAACACCGGGAGAGTCGTTGGCAGCGGCATCCACAATTGCCCCAAATAGCAGATGAGGGTAGCTCAACGGCATATCAGAGATGGCGTGAGACATGACCCAACAATCAAGAGGCAAAACAACATCCAAGCGGTCAGCCCGCGGAAAGTACACTCGGGTGATGTAGTAGTGGAGAAGCTTGAGTGAATCATCCAGCGAGGCAAAGGAGCGATTTGTGACCTCCCGACGCAAGTCAAACTTGTATGACCAAAACTCCAAAGGGGAAATGAGCTGCTTGCCTCTAGTAGGCAGAACAAGAAATGCAGCAAGGTCATCGACCGAAAGAGTGAGCAAGTGACCATATACCAGGGTGGATAGTTTGCCCGTTGTGATCCCATCGGTCCGGAGATTAGAATAGAAGGCACGAACAGCAGCTGGGCAGTAGCTGCGTGGAGGGGAATCACCCATAGGAAGCCAGCCTAGGTTGTCGATGAGAGTGATAGGATCCACAGAGTCGACAAAGGCGAAAGCATAGGGATCCAAAGTACAGACGTGCAGAATTGGCTTCTCAGCAAAAATCTGTTGATGTCGGTGTCGGTTCTCACCAACCGGATGAGGATAGAGTGCCCCGGTAAAGGACACGAACCTCTGCTGGCGACGAAAGAGCGCCGGAGTCATGATAAAGGAGTCGCCGGAGAGAAAACTCATAGTCACGTTTCAGCCGGAGACGTGAGGCACGGAGAGAGTTATGTTTATTTCTCTCTTCGGGGAGCGATGTAGTGAAATGAACAGAAACGACAAAGGATATAAAGGCAGCCACGCCGGCGTTTTCTCCGGGAAGACACGAGCAAAGCGAGCAAGGAAATCATGCCCTGCGATTCGGAATCGACGAGCGGGAAAAGAGAGACCAGAAATGGATAGAATCGATGCGGAGAAAAGGAAGTGGAGAGGGAGTTAGCTGGGGAAAGAAGATTTGGAACGGCAGAAGAAGGTAATGAGATCAGTTGGCAAGAAGCGGCAGAGTTGGTTGATTTGATTTGGCTGATTTGCGATCGGAAATCAAGAAGGAATCGTCGCTGCAGAAGGGTAAGGAAGAAGTGGCGAAATCAGCCGCTGGGAAAAGCGAGGGCGCTTTGGAATGTCATTTTTGGAATTTGAGATCCTCTTGGAAGATGACGTTTTTGGAAGGTGTCGTTTTGGAATGTGTTTCTTTCCCCCCCCCCCCCCTTTTTTTGTTTTGTTTTGTTTATTGATTTACTTAGGTAGAAAAATAAGTAAACAATCAAGACAGATAAGATCATGATTCAAAATCAGCAAGATCGGATTGGAAAATCATTCCCAACTCACTACGAATAAATAAAAATTGATCTATAGGTAGTGGTTTAGTGAAAATGTCCGCTAGTTGTTCACTCGTAGGTATGAAGGAAATAGACACGGTTTTACTCCGAACTAGCTCTCTAAGAAAGTGATATTTAATTTCTATATGTTTTGTTCTAGAGTGTTGGACCGGATTTTTGGACATATTGATAGCACTTGTATTATCACATAAAATAGGGACGGTAGGAGTTATAATCCCATAGTCTGCTAGTTGAGTTCTTAGCCATAGAAGTTGTTGACAACAACTTCCTGCAGCAATATACTCAGCCTCAGCGGTGGAGAGGGCTACGGAGTGTTGTTTTTTACTAAACCACGAGATTAGGGATCGACCATAAAATTGACAGGTTCCAGAAGTACTCTTTCTATCCGTTCTACTTCCCGCAAAGTCTGAATCGCTAAATCCCATAAGTTCAGGGTTTGTTTCCCTAGGATACCATAAGCCTAAGGTAGGTGTACCTTTCAGGTAGCGGAAGATGCGCTTAACGGCACTAAGATGACTTTCCTTAGGCTTGGACTGGAAACGAGCACACATACAAACACTGAACATAATGTCTGGCCTACTGGCTGTGAGATAGAGAAGTGAACCTATCATCCCACGATATTTACGTTCATCAACATCTATACCACCTTCATCCTTGCCTAGTTGAATATTGATAGCCATTGGGGTCGGACTAGGATTAAGACCACTAAGATCAAACTTGGTCAACATGGACTGAGTATAGTTTGTCTGACTAATGAAAATTCCTCTTGAAGTTTGTTGGATTTGAAGTCCTAGAAAGTAGGTAAGCTCACCCATCATACTCATTTCAAAATTTTGTTGCATGGAGGAGGCAAACTCTACACACATAGCTTCATTGGTAGCACCAAAAACTATGTCATCAACATAAATCTGGACGACCATAAGGTCATCGTTATGTTTCTTTAGAAATAAAGTTGTGTCAACCGAACCCCTGACAAACCCTTCACTCTCTAGAAATTGAGTTAGACGTTCATACCACGCTCGGGGGGCTTGTTTTAAACCATAGAGAGCCTTTTTAAGTTTGAAAACATGGTTAGGGTACCTATGATCTTCAAAACCAGGAGGTTGTTCTACATAGACTTCTTCATGAAGAACTCCATTCAGAAATGCACTTTTGACGTCCATTTGATATAATTTGAAATTCATTGAGGAAGCAAAGGCACATAAGAGTCTAATTGCCTCAATACGAGCTACGGGAGCAAATGTTTCATCATAATCTATTCCTTCTTCTTGATTATAGCCTTTAGCCACCAATCTAGCCTTATTTCTATTAATTATCCCTTGATCGTCTGTTTTATTACGATAGACCCATTTAAGTCCTAGAATAGTTTTGCCTATTGGTCTAGGAACCAAATCCCATACTTGAGCTCTAGCAAATTGGAGCATTTCTTCTTGCATAGCAAGAAGCCAACTTTAATCAAGTAAGGCTTCCTTAATGTTTTTAGGTTCAATCAAGGATAGATAGACTGTAGCAAGAAGTGAGAAGTGAGAGGTCTGACCTTGATACAAGTCCTTACTTGATCTTGTTTTGACCCCATCATTAACGTTCCCGATGATTTGATGCGGAGGATGCGCCTTGGCAATATGTGGTGGTGCACTTGGCTCTTTGGATAGCTCATCATGTGGAAGCTCCGTTTCTTCAGTGACTAAGGTTGTCGTTGGTCGAACTAGTCCCAAATCATCTTTATCATCATCCTGTTTTCTTTCATGCTCAGAGATATAGTCAGTTTCATCAAAAACAACATGTATCGATTCCTCGACCTTCAAGGATCTCTTATTGAAGACTCTATAGGCTTTACTACGAGTAGAATATCCTAGAAGTACTCCTTCATCCGACTTTGAGTCAAATTTTCCTAGTGCATCCTTAGTATTAAGTATAAAGCATCTACATCCAAATGGTCTCAGATAACTAATATTTGGCCGCCGATCTTTCCAAATTTCATAAGGTGTTTTTTTTAATGATAGCCCTAATCAATGTCCTATTTAGAACATAACAGGCGGTAGCTACTGCTTCGGCCCAAAAATACTTAGGAAGCCTATAGTCACTAAGCATTGTTCTAGCTAGCTCTATAAGAGCTCTATTTTTCCTTTCCACTACACCATTTTGTTGAGGTGTCCTAGGGGCTGAAAACTCATGGGAGATTCCTAATTGGTCGCAGAAATTTCCAAAGCTCTCTGAATCAAACTCTCCTCCATGATCGCTTCTAATGCTTTTAACACTCAGAGATTTCTCATTTTGAATATTTTTCACAAGAATTTTGAATTTCTCAAGAGCTTCATCCTTGTGAGTCAAAAAGATTACCCAAGTATATCTAGAAAAGTCATCTACTATGACAAAGGCATAATACTTTCCGCCAAAGCTCATGACATTAGTAGGCCCAAACAGATCTAAATGTAGAAGCTCTAAAGGTTTAGAAGTAGTAAAGTGAGATATACTCTTGAAAGATGCTCGAGTTTGTTTTCCTAGTATGCATGCATCACAAAAGAAATCCTTTGATTCTTTTAATTGAGGAAGACCATCTACTAGACCCAATTTAGCTAACTTAGCCAATCTCTTTATGCTGACATGTCCTAGTCTTCGATGCCATTGAAATTGCTTATTCTTACCTAAAGAGAAAAGCAGGTTTCATTGAATGACGCCTTTTTACTAAGATCAATGACATAGACATTATTTTTCCTAACTCCTAGGAATAATAGCTTATTGTCTTTGATCCTCTCAATAAGGCATGCCTCAGGTTGAAACACAACTCTATTAGTTGTACCACATAATTGACTAATAGATAACAGGTTATGCTTAAGACTATCAACATATAACACTTGAGTGAAGGTAGGATTTGGAGGCTCTCCAATCGTACCAACTCCAAGTATTCTACCTTTACCATTATCACCAAAGGTTACTTTACCTCCCTTTTTAAGAGTCAATTCTGAAAAGAGACTCTTGTTTCCCGTCATATGGTGAGAGCATCCGCTATCTAGATACCATTCATTTGCTCCTGCTCTCTTAATGACCTGCGAAATATTCAGAGTGTTGATTTTGGTACCCAGACTTGCTTGGGTACCTTTTTCTTGGGATACGATTGAAATGAGCTATAGTAGTTATTGTAGTAGCAATTTCTCCTAATGTGGCCTTGTTTATGACAACAATAACAGACAATTCTAGAATGACATTCTTGTTTAGTATGTCCTTTTCTAGTACATTTATTACACCTCACATTTTTCTTGCATTCTTTACTATGATGAATCTTCCCACAGTTCATGCATCTAATTTTGTCATTATTTCTACTATGAGTATTGCATCCAACATACATAAAGGATTTTTGCACTTTTTCTTTAGACTTCTTTTCCTTGTCTTCTAATCTCTCAATCTTGATATTTGCTTCAAAAAGCTTAGTCCTAGAATCTATTACCATTTTTTCCAGTTCATTATTTCTAACTCTCATATCTTCTAGTTCTTCAAGAGGTTTATTATTCTTGAGTTTACCCTTTCCTTTCTTCAGAACTTGATTTTCATCACGTAATATTGCAATATCCTCTTTTAATTCCTTAATTTCATTCTTGCTTAATCTCAAGTCCTCTTTTACCTTGTAGTATCTATCTTTTAGTTTTTCAAAATGATTTTGCATTTCTTCATATGCTTCAACTATACTACTACGAAGATTTGAGCCACAATCACTATCATAAGTTGGAAAGGAAGAACATACCTCATCTTCATGTGATCTTGACGAAGAGGATCCATCATCACGATTGGCAAACGCCATATAGCCTTGTATTTCACTTTCGTTATCTTCACTTTCGTCTTCTGATCCACTCCAAGCCACTGCATAAGCCTTTTCTCTACTCTGTCCTTTGTTGGGACATTCAGCCCTTACATGACCACTCTTTCCACATTTGTAGCATTTTGGTAAACCTTGGTCTTCATACTCACTTTCCACTTTATTTTTCTTCTTTTGATTATCAAAGGATTTTGCCTTACCATTTCTATTATTCTCACGAAAATAGAAAGAACTACCCCTACCCTGTTTTCTTTCTAACTTTAAAAACTTTTTGAAATTTTTTGAAATGAGAGCAAATCCTTGATCGAAATCATCCCCTGATCCTTCATCATTTGAGACTTTCTTCTCACAAGCCTTAAATGCTAAATTCCTATTTTTCTTGTCATTATTCTCATCACCTTGAGCTTTTAAGGCAATTTCATGACTAATTAGAGATCCTATCAAATTTTCAATACTGAGAGTAGATAGATTTTTAGCCTCTTCTATGGCAGTTTTCTTAGGCATCCATTCTTTGGGTAGACACCAAAGAATTTTCCTGACCAATTCAGCATTATCATAAATTTTTCCTAACGCACTAAGTCTACTTACTATTAAGTTAAACCGTACATACATATCAGAAATAGACTCACCTGGGTGCATTTTGAACATCTGATATTCATGCACCAATTGATATATCCTGGATTCTTTTACCTCAGTTGTCCCTTCATGTGATACCTCCAAGGTTTTCCAGATCTGATGTGCCGTCTTGCACCTGTTCACCTTATTGAATTCATCTGGACATATCGCACAATATAAGACATTCGTTGCTTTAGCATCTAACTCCATCTTTTTTAGATCATCGCTAGACCATGTGTTAGGATCATCTTTGATATCACCCACACCATTCTCAACTACATTCCAAATGTCAAAACCCATCCCTTTAAAGAAAACAATCATACGTGTTTTCCAAAAGGAATAGCTGTATCCATCAAACCATGGTGGTCTAACATACGAAAGACCCTCCATATGAGTAGAATTAGAACCATGATTTGTAGATGACCCACTAGCCATGCTTGGTATATCGGATCTCAGTTTCCTCGCAGATCTTTCGATCTTTTTGAGGGAGCCGGGCTCTGATACCACTTGTTAGACCAAGCTGGGTCAATAAGGGATACTTTTGACGTGGTCAATGCACAAATTAATTCAGATTTCAATAGTGAGAGATTAGCACTAGCTTGATTGAGCAATCCAAAAGGACTTGTCAAGAATCTCTCTTGAAGTGATTAATTCGTTGGCACTGATGAATAGAACAAAGTTAGAGGAGGTATAGAGAGAGATGAGTCGGGACACGCGATTTTAACGTGGTTCGGCCAATATGGCTTTACATCCACGTCCCGGAGATAGTTACCACTATCTCACGAGAGACTCTAACTTTTATTGAAATAAAAGACTCTCTAACCTATGAAATTGAAACAACCTTGACACTTCGTGTCAAGAACCAAATAGGTGCAACTCCACACCTATTCAACCCTTAGCTAAATCCAAGCTAAGCTACCCACTCAATCAATCAAGGCAACACTCTTAGTTTGACTTGATTGAAGAGCAATCCACCTAGTGCAACTCCCAAGCAAGAATCCCCTCTTGCTCTTGCACTAGTCCCTATTACAAATGCCCTTCTACCCTAAAACCCGACCTAGCTCGAATATCTCAATCCCCGAGATATCAAGCTATTCACACCACGAAATATGATCACACAATTTCGCTATTACAAGAGAGAAGAAAACTTTGCAAAAGGTATCTTCATCTGAAAACGACTCTCCTATTTATAGTTGATGTGAGCCTTCATTTCCTTTTATTTGTAATCCTTTATGCGGCAAGTATCTCCTTGATTTGATTCCCTTTTGTGCTTGATATGGTAACTCCTTTGAGGACAAACAATCACTTTGAATTGTTTCCTTTTTCCTCATCATGATTGTGATATTTCTGCATAAATTGTTAGTTCCACTAATAACATATATTCAAAGCAAAATATCCCATGAGATTCAATTTGCTGAATCAAGCTTCTTGACTCAACACCACAGTGTGTAAACTGGCGCTTCCCATTCGTGCACGTCGATAATCCGGTTGCCACCGCGCGCCAAACAAGTCAACAGAAAACGAAATGGCGCCACAGAATTACCACACGGTACGGCTGTGGACGCCACAGCAAGCCATAAAAAAAAATCCCATGACCGCGAAAGAAAAAGCTGGGCCAGATTATCGCAGCTGTCGCAGTAATTACTCCACAATTCCGAGAGCTTAATTAGCTTTGTGCTGCTCCGATGGCCGCTCTTCTTCCTTATTCATCATGCTTCCCTCGGATGGGATCGGCCTCTTCGCCGCCTCCTTATCCTATCGGTTTCTTCTACGGAGTCTCCGATTGGTCAAAATTCGGCGGTTACGTCTCCGGTGGAGTCGCGTTGGAGAAGAAGAAGGCACCGACTGGAAGGCAGAGCGTCGCTAGGGTTCCTCCTGTTTGTAGAGCGGCGGCTCCTTCCTCCTCCAACGTGTTTCGCGACCTCGACGCCGACGATTTCAGGCATCCTCTCGATAAACAGGTGATGACTGTAATCAAACCTCTGATTCAATGAGCTTCTGGTTTTCAATTACGGAGTTCTGTAGGATTTTGCTTGTTGTTTTGTTTGCAGAACACGTTGTTGTTGAGAGCGATTCCAGGATTGAATGAAATCGGCAAGGCCTTATTAGGTGATTCAATTTCTTCCTCATGATTCTTACTGTTACTGATTGCTTGAGTTTCCATTTTCTGCTGCATAATTGAACGGTGGAGGATGCCATGTTTTGGTCACACTTGCAGGAAGCTTATCCGAGCAAATTATGCTTCTCGAGAATATCGGAACTTCAGTTCTCGTCTCAGAAAACCAGGTAGTTTGATTGTTACTCCTCAAGATCATGGTGTGAAATCATTAAGAACAACTTCGTTGCTCTGAAAGAGTGTGGGATCGATGATATATGATAGGGTTTATTGTGCTCATTGGTGCATGTTTAGAGAGACTGGTTAATGAACATATGGTAGCAGCAGTGTAGTTTGTTTTGGGTTATGATGATTGACTGTTACGTTGTAACCAGCTAATTTGAGCGAGTATTATGTCTGCTTCTCAGCTTCCAGAACTTTATCTGCTGATGACGGAGGCTGCATCGATACTAAACATCAAGTCTCCTCCTGATCTTTATGTCCGGCAGAGCCCCGTACCAAACGCCTATACTCTAGCTATAAGTGGGAAAAGGCCATTTGTTGTTGTGCACACTAGCCTAGTGGAGCTCCTAACAAGAAAAGAGTTGCAGGTCTTTGAACTGTGTCTATTTCAAACTGTTCTTATTGAGTCCTAACTTCATTCTTGGTACTGTCAGTCTTACTGAATACACCCGATGTTAACTGTTTCTGGGCGATTCAATCGTGATAGGCTGTTTTGGCTCATGAGTTGGGACATCTGAAGTGCGACCATGGCGTGTGGCTCACATTCGCAAATATCCTCATGCTTGGAGCTTATACTGTACCTGGTAGGTCTTATGAGTCCTGATTGTTGTTTTGTGAGCTGGTTCCATATCTCATTTGTATAAATGTTGTCAAGTCTTAGTTAGAAGTACACCACAACATAAAATTTGACAACTTCCTACTTTAAAACCTCACCTTCCAAATAGGGCATCACAATGGAGGACTTGTGTTCATTTTTTGATGCATTTGATAGAGTTTGAGCTGACCCTATGTATTCCATAGGAATTGGTGGCATGATAGCTCAAAGCTTAGAAGAACAGTTGTTCCGTTGGATTCGTTCAGCTGAGCTGACATGTGATCGTGCAGCGCTTCTTGTTGCTCAAGACCCCAAGGTCTGCAAATACTAAAAATATAAAACCAATAATTTATTGCTTATCAAGCTTCATTGTCATCTCCTTTCGGCCGTTTATCTTACTTTTGATTTCCGACAAGAGGTTGTCATCTCACTGCTGATGAAACTATGCGGGGGAAGCCCATCGCTCGCTGATCAACTCAATGTTGACGCCTTTTTGGAACAAGCTCGATCTTATGACCGAGCATCATCCAGCCCAATGGGATGGTACATAAGGTAAGCAGACTTGTCATAGGTAATATAGTGTAAGAATGAATATAGAACCTCTCCTCATAACTCGACTTCTCAAGTTCCAATCTATCCGTTTCTTCATCCCTGTCTGATCTGCTGCTACTGCTTTTCCCGTCAGAAATGCTCAGACGAGGCAACTTTCACATCCACTGCCTGTTCTACGCGCTCGCGAGATCGATGAATGGTCGAGAAGCCCAGAGTATAAAAAGCTTCTGAATCGTGCTAATGGGGCGAACATTGTAAAGAAGGTATAGCTTAGACATGAAGAGCGCTGGATTCCATATTAACTTGTACAGGTATGCTTCTTGAGAAATTTCAACCGAGGTACATCTTACATTTACCTCTTCCTCTATGGTGTTGAATTTACCTGTTTTGTTGATTGTTTGTAGGTCTCCGCTCACTATACTGTAGCCGTTGCATGAGAGGGTGTGAAGGATTAAGATTAGAGTACTGTATTGTAGTATAGTATATACAACTGTAGAGCATAAAGTGTCATATTGTTTCTGTTGTTTATCTGGTAGCTTCTGGTCATTATATGAGTGTATATCCAAAACAATTCATAGATATTTATAAAAAAACCAATTCGTGGATAAAGTATGATCCAAAACTGATAAACTGTCATCTAACTAACTCTGTCGGTCAATAGCAGAACATTATCTAGAAAGAACAAGGTTGTCTCCCGTAGAACTAACAGTAAGCCTAATCTTAAACTAACAACTAACAGAAAGAAAACACAACCAACAATCCAACATGAACACTATATATAAGACTAATACTAAATAACGATCTACAGATTATGGTCTCCCCTGTCAAATTCAAACGCACCAATATTATTCTCATCCAACTGGTTCAGAAACATCATGGGATGAGAATAATACCCTGCTGCAGCAGCCATTGCAGGAGAAGAAAACTGATGCTGCATCTGCTGAAAACCTGAAGAAGGTACATACCCCATCTCCATCCCTCCTCCTCCATCAGAATTCACTCCCAACATCCCAGCAGAGTCGAAAACCCACTGACTCCCACCATTCACAGGCATCAGCATCCCCTGATGATGACCTCTGTTCGTCACAGGTTCCTGCCGCACTGGCATGGGCAGCGACTGCATCGTTACAGGGACATCGTTGCTCTGCTGGTACTGCTGCATCAGGCTGAAGTTCATTCCTTTGTCCGGACTGAATTCCTGCATCAATTGGGGACTGTACGGAGAGAATTCTCCAACTCCAGGAGCAAAGTAATTGAACCTGTCAGGAATGAAGAAGGAAGAATTGGTTGAGTACAGTTTGTCCGAGTAGCCATTAGCCATAGCCGAGCTCTGCCACTGCGACGGTGATGGAAGCGGATGGGAGTTGAAATCGGAGCAAATTAGTGATTTTGACGGGTACCCTTGATCGAGCTCCCTCTCAGTTACAGGACACCCCTCCTGAATCGCTGAATTATGGAAATTTATCGGCACTGGAGGAACCAGACCTGTAATAGCCCTTTCGGCGGCTGTCAAGGCCGTGATCCTCTCATCGGCAAGCTTCAGCTTCGAATCGAGCTGAACGAGAACGACTCCAAGCTGATCCACGGAAAAATTGTCCAGCCTTTTATCCCAACTAGGGAATTTCAACTTATAAATCTGCTTCCTCACCTTCGACAGCTCGACATCCACCCTTTTCTTCTTCTCTGTGAAGTAATCGGTGACGGTGAAGCACTTGCTGGGCTTGTCGGAGCTTCTGTACTGCTGGATCAGCTCCTCCACGGTACAGGACTGCGGAGCCCATGTTTCGAGCTCCTCCCCGCCTTTGGCACCGTTGTTGCCGGAGAAGATGATAAGGCAAGCCTTGACGTCGCAGAGTATGCAGAACTCGTTGATCTTCTTCAGCAGACTCGCCTTCCTTTTCTTGTAAGTCAGCAGCCGGCTCCTCTCGTTCTTTATCAGCTCAATCTTCACCCTTTTGGCCCCCATTATGGATTGATTCTTCTGCGTCAGAAACAGGAATTGTTTTCAAAATTGGGTAAGAAACGAATTCGCCAAAGGGAAGGTCTCAAGCTCTTACCTTTTGGAGCAGTAAACAGAGCACTCCAACGATGGAAGTTCTTGCAAGTTCTCGTGGTAAGAACGAACCTTAATGGAAAATGAGCAGTGAATTTATTAGTTTTGTCGGTTCTTAATAAGGAAAAATCCAGGAGTGGGATTTCATTTCACCAATGGCCGCTATTAATGAAGGGACTAATTTCTTGGGGGCTTTTTCTTGGAAGGAAATAAATCCTTACGTTGATGGTAATAAGATCATCAACTTTGATTTTCCTTCCATAATATGAATTGAAGGAAGCTTCCTCCTTCATTTATTACAGTTATTTTGGTTTTTAGTTATTATTACCCACCAAGCTTAAGCTCGTACGGACAATGATTACAGGGGAGTGGAGATTGGAGGATGCGTTCGGAAGGTGGAGTGTCGGGCCGGGTACGAGTTTATTGGACTTAAACTTAACAAGGGCCCCTGAAACTAGGCCCATAAAAACGAGCCAAACGGCCCACGCGAAGTGTAGGCAACCGTGAACCGACTAACAGAAGCAAGGAAAGCACGTTGCATTCGCGTGCAGCCACGAGTACGTCTCCAGCCAGCCACCAGATTCCACAAACACTTCCCCCCTTTCTCCCGAAAGTTTTATCAATTTGGCGCTAACGCCTTCAAGCAAATTCTCCCGCCCAATCAAAATTTGGCTTCCCTCGCAAGCCTTCACTTTCTCTCTCTCATCCCAAATACCAGCCATTGATTCCACCCACCTCGCCTTCTTCGAGTCAATTATATATCCAGCCAATATACTTTTTGGTAATTAACAAATCGGCCACCCAATTCGATTTTTAACAAACTCATACCTGAAGTCAAATTGTCCATTCACTTCAGAATTCTTCTTCTAATTAATTTTACAGCTCATAATTGATCCCAATCAAATATGTAATTATGCGGTGTAGTGGTAAGCTATTAAGCAATTGATTTCTGAATGAACTAACACGTTGGTTGGATCAAGTTAGATACAAAATTGTGACATTATGACAACCTTTTTGGTCAAGAATTGAAATCATTCAAATGTATATGTTAGATGTTCGTTTCATGACGAATATGCGAAATGAGCATTACCATGAACGTCGAATGAGATTACCAACAGTCTTCGATTAATGCAACAAGAGGATGGTCGAAGCTTTTTATGTAAATTATGAGCAAAATTGAAAGTTAGAAGTCATAATCTAACTCGATATGCCGATAACCAAGAGTCCATTCTACACTCCATCTCGAATCATCCAACATTATGAATAGTTTGAGTACTATAATTGTCTAGTTCATTATTTGAGATGAAGTAACAATAAAAGACTGACCCAATTGTATAGCGACATAAAAGTTCAATGGCTGTTATGTAATTGTGTTATTAATACTCGGTTAAGTAAAACCTAAACCAGACGTCTTGCCGCGAACAAACAAATGGCGGCAAAATCCCACAAACCCCTTCAAAAAATTCCAATTCGAATTCCCTACCGCCATTACTGTTCCATTACCCTTCTCCTATAAATCCCCAATCTCCCTCCTCCACTCTCTGCAACCAAAAATTCCCAAATCCCAACACTCAAATTTCGAATTCCCCCCTTCTTCCCCATCTCCAAAACCCTAGGCAATCCCCCAAAGATGCCGTCCTTCCCAGAAGAGCCGCTCTTGGCCCCAAGCCCTGACCGCTTCTGTATGTTCCCGATCGAGTACCCACAGATCTGGGAGATGTACAAGAAGGCCGAGGCTTCCTTTTGGACCGCGGAAGAAGTCGACCTCTCTCAGGACACCCGCCACTGGGAAGCACTCTCCGCCGACGAGCGCCACTTCATCACCCACGTCCTCGCCTTCTTCGCCGCCTCCGACGGAATCGTCCTCGAGAATCTCGCCGGCCGGTTCATGAAGGAAGTGCAAGTCGCCGAGGCAAGAGCCTTCTACGGGTTCCAGATCGCGATCGAGAACATCCACTCCGAGATGTACAGCCTCCTTCTCGAGACCTACATCAAGGACTCCGACGAGAAGAGCCGACTCTTCCGCGCCATCGAGACGGTGCCCTGTGTGGCCAAGAAGGCCCAGTGGGCCTTGAAGTGGATCGACGGCGGGGAGTCGTTCGCCGAGAGGTTGATTGCGTTTGCCTGCGTGGAAGGGATTTTCTTCTCCGGTAGCTTCTGCGCGATATTCTGGCTGAAGAAGCGTGGGCTGATGCCTGGATTGACGTTCTCCAACGAGCTGATCTCGCGAGATGAAGGGCTTCATTGCGATTTTGCCTGCTTGCTGTATGGGTTGATGAAGGTGAAGCCCAGCGAGGAGCGGGTGAAGGGGATTGTTAGGGATGCGGTGGATATCGAGAGGGAGTTTGTTTGTGATGCCCTGCCGTGCGCGCTGGTTGGGATGAATGGGGCGTTGATGAGTCTGTATATTGAGTTCGTTGCTGATAGGTTACTGGACTGCCTTGGCTGTGGGAAGATTTACAATGTGACGAATCCTTTTGATTGGATGGAGCTGATTTCGTTGCAGGGCAAGACGAATTTCTTTGAGAAGAGGGTTGGGGAATACCAGAAGGCTTCTGTTATGAATAGCCTTAATGGTGGCAATGGTGGAAGCCATGAGTTTAAGATGGATGAAGACTTCTAAAAGGCCTTTTGCCATTTCCTGTTCTTCTGTAACATTTGATGCGCTGTTATTCTCTTAATAGGTGTTCTTACTTCTTAGCTTACAGTTCTTTTGCGAGTAGTGTTTAGTTTATGGTTTGGAAAATGGTTTCATATAAAATTGAGTTATTAATTATAATCGCTTTCGTAATTTACTCTCTGGGTTCCCATGGATATGGCTTCTTTAGGTGGTTCTGGCTTTATCATTTGCACTGTGATTTCTGCGGAATGGAGTAATTGAAATGACCGAAATATCCTTCGGCTATTCTCCATCGCGAATCATTCCATCACGAGATTTTTTTTTTCTCCTTTGGTTCTTTTCCTTTTCGTCTCTCCTTTTCTTGGGTTGCCCCGTTTCTGTTGAAGCTCTGATTCTACACGTTCGCGGCTGTGGATAATAAATTGAGGTGATTTTAATTTCTTGGCTTTGCTAGGTTATTGTCGTCTGAGCCTTGAAGCGTTCAATGTATGGAATCAAACCCTATGCTTCTTTTTTGGGTACTTTCAATTTGTGTCTGAAATGAAGGATTCTACAGAAAGGAAGCTGCTTTTTCTGCATCGCATTGATGGCTGGTCTGCAATTTCAAAGCTCAGGGATGTTGTCAAGGGAGCAGTTGGTTTATCTGTTTGATCGATTCTCCGAGCTCACCGCCCAGCCAGGTAAGTCCCTTTTCGGCTCTTCTCTTCTGCTCTTTTATCTTGTTTCTTCTGTTTGTTCATTCGTTGGTTTTATAGATGTAAAGAGAAGAATTTCAGATGCCGTGGATGATAAACAGGTGAATTAGTTTGGTTCTTATGCTCTTGGAAATGAATTCAGTGTTGTTTCTTTTACGTTAACATTGAACTAAGCAAGTGTGGAAATGTATGTTCAACATTGAATGTGGCAATGTAGGAAGCTGTAGCTGTTACTACAGCACTTCAAGAGGGCATATTTTTGGAGATGGAAGTTGGTATGGTTTAACATGTGTTCCGTTTGTGTATATTGGTTAGCTGTTAAGGGGGTTTGTGATTCAACTTAATATCTATGGATGGCTGTATGCATGATGAATCTGTGTTATTAAAGTCTTGCTACTTTGCAGATCCTAGCTTCGGCATTTCTTGTTTGGGTAAAGTGAATACAATTTATGAGAATGACCGGGATTTGATGATTCAGTTTTACAAGTTTGTGGCAAGGTAAGGCTCAGAATTCTGATGACTTTGGTCATGAACATTCTATTCTGGTGAACAGCATGAAGAACTAGACACCGCCTTGTTTGTTTGTCCCTTCTTGTTGTCTGTTTGACGATGGTGCTTATTTCTGGTATGTTGTTGAACAGTCAAAGCTGTTCTAGTCTAGAGATAACATTGTTGAACACGCCTACCATGTTCCCCCTTATTTCCCCGTTTTATGTTGGAGTAACTTTCCGTTTTCCCAGATTTTGTTAAAAAACTATGAAGTGTGCTACTCTGCAGTTAATTTGACATGTTAGTTGGGTGTTCGTTTTGGTGTGGAAGTTTGGAGTTGTCTGTTTTAGGAATGTGGATCCAATTGAAAAGAAAAATCTTTGATAAACAGGCAATATAGTGTCAGAGAAACAATTTTCTACTTTCTAGCATCCAATGTTTCACACGATTCATTGATTGGCAGTGAAGAAATGGCTTGTGATGAGGCTGAACTTGGAACAGAAGAATATGCCAAGAAATTGCATAATCAACAAATGCTTCAGGGGAAGGCAAGTCCTTTTTGGAAAACTTCTTTTGCTTTCATCCTTTCTGTGGTTTATCATTGGAGATGGCTGCAGCAAAATATGATAAGTAAATGGCTCTTTTGTTTGGCAGCAACTGGAGATGCTGAAGTACATGCGCAAATTCCACCTGGATGACCAATCTACTATTCTTGATAAGGTGCATTATTACACATTCAATCTATATCTTTTGATTTGGATAATTTGCTTGCCTACATGATATTGGCTTGGTTTCTGTGTGTCTATGCAGTTGCGCCAAAACCTGGAGAATGCGAATTTCGACGAAGAGGCATCGGTATTGCCAACAGACCAGATTCAAGAAACTGTGCGTAGGAGGGTGTCCCCATTATTCATGCCAGCCAACTAGGCTTAGGGGATACTTGCCTCTTCATCATGCACTCTATATGGTGTGTCTGTATCTCTTGTAATTGTTTCTCCAAAACGTTTATTATGTATTGATGCTCTTAATGCAAGTTGTGTCAGCAAAACTACAGCGTGAAATGTGGGGTGTTTCAATAGACTAATGCTGAAATGAACATCCGTTGAATTTAGACTAATCTTCTTTATTTCATTACTATCTGCTTGATATGGGTAGATAATCGTCAATTTTGTCATCTATGTTCTGACTGCTGTACTTTCATCCTATGTATAAGGCCTGGGGAATGACTTGACAACAAAGTTGATATGGCCGAGTTGGTCTAAGGCGCCAGATTAAGGTTCTGGTCCGAAAGGGCGTGGGTTCAAATCCCACTGTCAACATAACTTTTTTGTTCTTTTTTCTATTGTATTTGGCACTTCTGAAACAATGTCATGGGCGTTTTACTTCTATTTGTTTTGTTGTTTTGGGATCTTATGGGCCTAAATCATGAGCTAGATTTAGGATTATCAAACATGTGATGGTAAGGGAATGAGCTATATGCAATGCTTTCCAATTTCCATTCAAAAGCTTAAATGTGAGGGGGTTTCCCTTTCTTTTTGCCAAATTAAATGTGAGCTTTTAAGTATGGCTATATGATTAGTAATGCATTCGTTGCCTTGGGATATGTTATTCCAAGAATGATGCTCAATTGCATATGCCTCGTTAGTTGTCACTAAACAATACGGAAATAGAATTTAATATGTCATATTTAATAACATTGTCTGTAAATGACATATAAAACGTCATACTTGATCAAATCAATGTCATCCAAATGCATGATATGTATTGAACAATACTTAAATCATCAAAATGGTGACATGGTCATTTAAGTATGTATGCGACCACCCAATATTATACGACAATAAAATAATTATTGTAGTTTTTGGTTTTGAAACACATATTACTGGTAAAAAATGGTAGGCAGGAGCTCAATCAATGTTATTGCTATTCTTCTCATGTAGTAAATGTGCTTGTATAGAACAATCATAAACAAAAAGTGAGTTTAAGAGGAAGACTTCCTATACAAAGTACATTGTTGTTTCTTCCCCCAATAGACCAACAAACTTCACATACAAATCAAATAACTCATTCATTCCCCCCAACTTCCTCTCTAACTAACAAAAACTAGTGAAGTTTCCATTGCCAACAAAGGAAGGTATCTCAAAATGCCAAAGCCTCCCCACAGCTTTCACCAAGTACTTTTTACACAAAAATTCCTCAGCATACACCCTCTCCACCCTCCTGTTAACGTCATGCAAGAACACGTGCGTCACCCCGTGGTGCGTCCTCCCACGCGCCATCACCGCCGCCGTGTATATCGCCGCCATCCGCCCCGGTGCCTCGGGAAAGTACCCTCTCGGCGCGTCGATCATAATCACATCCCACTCATCCTCGTACACCTCACTAGGCAACGTACTCAGTGCCAGCTTGCACTTTGCATTACCCTTGAGACGCGCAAGCCCATGAGATCCACCGAGAAGGCAGTCGGGCTCGTCTTTGTAAGACGAGAGAAGCGAATCAGCCTGATGGAGGCGCGTGGGGTATCTGACGACGCGCGAGCGCAACAAATTGGGGAAACGACGGAGGATGGAGTGGACCCAGCGTGGGTCCTCCTCAAGGAATAGAGTGGTGCCACGTGGATTGAGCCCGGTCCACATGAGCGAGTCGTGGCCCAGCCCAAAGACGAGGAACCGACACGGGCCCAACGACCGGAGGACGGCTGCGGAAACCGAGATTTCCGCCAGAGATTGCTGCGGGACGGTCCGGGAGGTGGCGTAGTGGAGGATTGCTTCCAGCTGCGGCGGCGTCGGGTCTTTGCTTTTGCCGTCGTCGCTTCCACCGACGGCAGAGGTGGAACAGAGGAAGGGGGAGTTTGGTGAGAGAGAAGTGAACGAACCGGCGATTAGTAGCAGCGTGGCGGCGAAGGCGGCTGCGAGGAGGCCGGCGAACAATCTGGGCTTCTCAGCCGAGAAACTCCGGCTGATCTTCATCTTCTCCATGGCGATGATCAATCGGTCGGGAAAGTTGGCGAATTTGAAGGAAGTAATGAAATGGGTTGGATTTAAAGTGGGAAGAGAGTAATGGGTCGCCGTCGAATTTCTTGAGAGGGATAATGTGAATGTAGAGTGTGTGATCAATGGTGCGAAGCTAGATGGGAAGCTTTTGTTGAAGGAGATGGAACTTGGCAATCTGGTGTGGTGGGCGTATTATAATATTTGTGAGGGAAAGTTGTGTTGCAACGGCAGACATTATTATCGTGGTTAATATATATAAACATTACACGATGCATGAGTCTATTTCTTTGTTCTCAAATGAAGAAATACACAATGTTCTAATTGATTCATGTGACTATACTTCATTGACAAGATTTATTATGACTCAAAATCATGAACATTTATCCTTGTATCAAATATCATACAATTCTTTAACTTATTAATTATATCGTAAGCGAATTAAACTCACATTGAATTGAGTCGATTTTTAAAATAAGACGCGGACCGAATATTTATATCATTCTTACGCCAATTACATATGAATATTGCAACTATCAATCACACATATTTATTTTAGTAGTCTAATTCCAAAAATGCTCCATTTATATTAATTTCTGCATGATCACACACATATTCTCAAGTGTTATGTTGGTATGAGCTTTGGTTCAAGTATATTTGGCATCAAATCAAGATATTTTGGGCGGAAAGAGAGGAGTTAATTGATTATTAGTTTAGGGGTAATGGGAATGATTAATCACTTAAGAATGGCAATACAAATTACAAGTTAAGATGTGCTGTCTTCTTCACTTAAGAGAGCATCTTTTGGAGGAACCCTACTTGCTCTTTCCTTGAAGTTGGCATGTTATGGGATTAGTGAAGCTATAATTTAGATGCCCATGTCGTGACTCGTGACACTACATTGTTGTCGGCGTCAAAATTTGAAGGCTAGGAAATAAAGAAATGTTTATTTCATACAATGTTAATTAGTACTTCTAGTATTTTATTGAGTAACAGTGACACGATGGGAAAATGTTTTTTTCCCCCCTTTATGAACAATAGATTATATTATAAGAGTTGATGGTGATTATTTCTATTTGCAACGTACGTAGTTGTTGAACTTTGTTTTGAAAGTGGAAATTTTCATTTGAAGTCTTTCTTTATGAAATTCCAAATCGAGCCAATCAGTTATGAATATCCACCTGTGCATGTATTTTTCACTAAGCATGTTTGATTCATTTAAACATAGTTAATATTAATGGAAAAATAGTTCGTGCAAAATTTGTCATATTGAATAATTTTGAACACAAATAATAATTTTGAATAGTTTGGACTTTATAGTAGAATTAATCCTATAACCCTATAGCATTCTCAATACAAGAGTCTACATACAAAAATATAGATAACCATGACAACAAGAGGGCATATCATATACACATTGAAGACAACATTATTTGTAAATTAGATGTCCCATGTTGTGACGCTTTTGTTTATGGGCTTAATAATAAATGTTATTTCAATTTAAGGGTTGATGAATTTTTGTATTATCGATTATTTTTATATAAACCGCTTGGAGAGTTGGAGCTTTGTTTGAACTTTGAAGTGGAAACTTCTTTTTGAAGTCTTTCTTTATTTACGTGGAAACTCCAAAGCAACCCAACCAATATCCATTGGTGCTTGTATTTTCCAATCAGGCAAGGAGAATGTAATGTGGAGAAGAAGATAAGATAAGGGGAAAAAGTTGTAAAATCTTATAAGGATATATTTGGTTTTGTAAGTTTCATCGGCTAGAATCGTCAGGGTGTACATGAAGTAAGTTTATCTAAAATCAAATGTTATAATTAAAATTAAAATAGAAATAAGTAAGGAATCAAAACAAAGCAATATTTGATTGAAATAGAAAGGAGTCAATCAAAGTAAAAGACGCAAATCGCAACGGAATGATTCGACATAAATGATAATAGATGGATCACTTATGAGTTATACCATATACAAATCATATGACTACAATAGGATTGAATTAGTACAACATCAACATCATCATCTATGCTCAAACACAAACATACAAACCCGATATATGAACCTAGTATCATTGCAAACAACTCAAATACGAGAAATTGTTTGCCCAAAAGTCCCAAATCAAATGACACATTATTGTTTCATATCGCTTACTTGTTCTTAATGTAAGAGTTTATATACAAAATTATAGATAACCATGAGAACAAGGTGGCTTATACACATTCGAGAGACAACATTTATTTGTAAAAACTAGTACCATCCTTTCTAGTTACTACTACTATCAATACAAACTCCTCCCATCTCCTTCATTGATAGCATCCTTAAACCCGCCACCACTTGGTATCATCGGCAAAACATGCTCCTGATGAGGCACAATCACATCAAGCAAGTACGGCCCTTCACTCTCCAGCATCTTCTTCATCTCCTCCTTCAAATCCCCCAACTTCGTCACTCTAGCGGCCGGGATCCCACACGCTTCAGCAAACTGCAACATGTTGGGGAAAATCTCCTCTTCATTCGCCGGGTTCCCCAGAAAAGTATGCGCCCTGTTGGCCTTGTAGAACCTGTCCTCCCACTGAACCACCATCCCCAAATGCTGATTGTTCAGCACCATGATCTTCACGGGCAGATTCTCCACCCGAATCGTCGCCAGTTCCTGCACATTCATCATGAAGCTGCCGTCGCCATCGATGTCGACCACGGTCCTCCCGGGGTTGGCCACTGCAGCCCCGACCGCCGCCGGCAGGCCGAACCCCATGGCGCCCAGGCCCGCGGAAGTGAGCCACTGCCGCGGGTTTTTGTACTTGTAGTACTGCGCTGACCACATCTGGTGCTGACCCACTCCTGTGCTCACTATCGCGTTTCCTTGAGTCATTTCGTCGAGCAGTTGGATGGCGTGCTGTGGAGGGATCATGTCGCCGAATGTTTTGTACTTCAATGGGAATCTCTGCTTCTGATCGGCCACTTCTTCTCTCCAGGAGGTGAAATCGAGGTTGAATTGAGATCCTTTCTTCTCCATGATTGAATTCAGGCCCTGCAAGGCCGGCTTCAAATCGGCGCACATCGCGATGTGCGGCTGCTTGTTCTTCCCGATTTCGGCTGAATCGATGTCGATGTGGACGATTGTAGCTCTGCTGGCGAACGTTTCGACTTTCCCGGTAACGCGATCGTCGAACCGTACTCCGAACGCGAGGAGAAGATCGGCGTTGTCTATGGCGTAGTTGGCGTACATGGTCCCGTGCATTCCGAGCATTTGGAGGGAGAGATCGTGGTCGCAGGGGAAGCTCCCGAGTCCCATGAGCGTGCTGGCTACGGGAATTCCCGTGAGGTCAACGAATCGACGGAGCTCCTCGCTGGAATTCAAAGATCCGCCGCCGACGTAGAGGATCGGCTTCTTCGATTGGTAGATGAATCGAACGATCTGTTCCAATTGGGAAGTCTCCGGCGGTTTCGGGAGTCGGGCGGTGTAACCCGGCAGCTTGACGGTTCGGGTCCAGGTCGGGACGGCGAGCTGCTGCTGGACGTCTTTGGGGATGTCGATGAGGACCGGGCCGGGTCGACCCGTTGACGCAATGTAGAAGGCTTCCCGTACTATTCTAGGGATTTCATCGACGTCGGTGACGAGGTAATTGTGCTTGGTGATTGATTTGGTTACCTCGACAATTGGGGTTTCTTGAAACGCGTCGGTGCCGATCATGCGGCGGGGGACCTGGCCGGTGATGGCGACGAGGGAGACGCTGTCGAGCATGGCGTCGGCGAGGCCGCTGACGAGGTTGGTGGCGCCGGGGCCGGAAGTGGCGATGCAGACGCCGACTCGGCCGGAGGAGCGGGCGTAACCCTCGGCGGCGAAGACGCCTCCTTGCTCGTGGCGGGGGAGGGTGTTCTTGATTAGCTTTGATCGGGTCAGGGCCTGGTGGATCTCGAGGGAAGCGCCGCCCGGGTAGGCGAAGACGTGGCGGACGCCTTCGCGCTCCAGGGCTTCGATCAGGACGTCGGCGCCCTTTCTAGGTTGGTCGGCGGCGAATCGGGAGGTGTAGGGGGCGGTGGAGGTGGTAGTGGTGTCGACGATGGCGGCGGCGGGGACCGCGGAAGGAGGGGGGATTTGGGGTTTGTTTTTGTTGGGGTCGTTTGAGTGGTGGAGGGGGGAGGAGGAGGCGGCGACGGTGGTGAGGCGGAGGGTGTGGCGGCGGAGGTGGTGGTCGGAGGGTGGGAGTGACGAGGGTTGTTTGAAGGGGAACGAGAGATTCGGAGCAGTGGTAGCGTAAGCCATTGTGGGATGGGAATATTTTTTCTTCCGCCGGGAAGGAGACTAGAGACGGAGGAACGAACGAGTCAACTCAAAGAGACATTGCCGGGTTTTAATTTGGAGTTTCCTTTTGCTGAGTTATTTATAACGCTTTCCGTTTCCCACTCACCAAGTCACTATTCAAATTTTTGAGAAGACAATTCAGTTTGTGAAAATGATGTTATATTGCAGAAACTTAAGAGCCCTTTCGTATGAATTAGTTCTATTTTAGGTATTAAATTCTCTAAAATTTGTCATATCTGCTTCACTGATAATTTGATATTTCACAAAAATTGAGTTGGGTGACATCTAATTCTTTTTGATAAGAGGTGACATCTAATTCATGAAATACGAGTTGGTACTCCTGCTATTCAAAGCGACAATGGGATAAAATAAACTAGGTAAAAATGGTGTCGAGAAATTGAATTCACGGATGATGAAGATACATTAAATAAATAAGAATGCATGAACGTGAACTTTGGCAACTCAGTCAATTAGGATCATGTGCTACTTGAGGGTGTAATCGTGTAAGAAGCACAAACAATATCAGAATGAGAAAGTATCTACTTTATAAAGGGATTCAAATACGACATTTTAAAATTATAAATCAACAAATAAAAATCAAGTCCAAACGAATAAAACCTATGCAAAAACAATGTGTGGCCTAGTTTTTACTCTTTACACCAAGGGAGTAACATTTTTGTGGCTACACTACACATCATGTAAAACCAACACCAAAGTTGTGGTATGATTTAGTTGTTCATCATTGATGGCTCCATCATGAATTCATGATACGAAATGGACAAGCCGTTTGGGGACTGAGTGGGGGATGATGATGGTGCACAACCCCAAAAAACATAGAAATGGTGGATAACAATATCGGTAGTTGGGAAACAAGACAAACAAGTTAGTAGGTAAACTTTGTAACGTGCAAAATGCTGTGTACTGTTCTCCCCAAGCCATGGCAGGTGAGCAAATTACTGTACATAAAAGAACTATCCATGGCTGGGCCCGCTAATGTCTTGTAGATGGGCCAACGTGCAAGACGGAGACTCCCATGAGTCCAAGCCTATGTTCTTCATCTTTGCTCCCAGCCCAAGCCCATTTAAAAACGACCCGAGTCTTTCACCGGCACACGTGCGCGGTGCGCCCCTCCTCATCCGAAGATAAGCTCTGGATTTCCCGCAAACTAATTCTCCTTCTACATTCTCCATTTTGCTGAATTCTCAGTTCTGAGCTAGCCATGGCGGCCGCAGCGACCTTCAATCTGATAGGCTCCTTCAAGGGCCTCTCTCTCTCATCCGGTTCTTCCTCGTCCTCTTATTCTTCCTTCTTCAATGGCGGATTCGCTGGCCTGGGGCCCCAGAACTCCGTGTCCCTCCCGCGAAAGGGCGCGTTCCAATTGACCATCGAAATGGCTCACAAGAAGGGAGCCGGGAGTACCAAGAACGGCCGCGACTCCCCCGGCCAGCGCCTCGGCGTCAAAATCTTCGGCGACCAGCTGGCCAAGCCCGGAGCTATCATCATCCGCCAGCGCGGGACCAAGGTTAGGTTTGATTCAACTGGCATTGCAGTGTTTGAGCTAGTCAATTTTATCTGGACGATACTAAATTCTAGGGATTTGAATTTGGTTGGATTTCTGGTGAATTCGAGTTTAGTACTTTGGGATAGAAATTTCATACCGTTTGATACAAATGAACTCCTCATGAGGTAAGGCTAACTAGGTAATGGATGTTTTCATGATCTCAGAGCAACTATGTCAATATTGTGATCTATTAATGGAAATTGGCTTCAATTGAATGATGGTTTTCATAGTTGAACTGTAGGATTGAGTTGGATAGGTAGAGCAGAATGTCTTCAAAGGTTTATTCATCTAACCAAGAATGAAGAACCAGAACGATTTATAGGGTATCTGGGTTGGTTTATAGTCAGCTGGAGTTGCAGAATTCCAGCAGATTTCAGCTCTTGTGACTCATAATTATGAAGATTGCCATTTGGTCTTATTCCTCTTGCTCCATCTTTCAGTTCCATCCAGGAAACAATGTGGGAATGGGGAAGGATCATACCATCTTCGCACTGATCGATGGCCTCGTCAAGTTCGAGAAGTACGGTCCTGACAGGAAGAAGGTAATCAAGCTTCTCAAATCGCTTCCGATTTTTCAGTTTGTTTGTAGTATTGACGTTGGCTTTGTCGGTTGTTCAGGTGAGTGTATACCCACGAGAAGTTGTGCCGGAGAACCCCAACAGCTATCGAGCGAGGAAGCGAGAGCAGTTTAGGCTGCAGCGTGAGAAGAAGAAGGCCAAGAAGGAAGGCAGAACCTTTGCACTGCCGGAGCCACAATTGGTTCTTGCTTCCAAGGTTGATGCGGCAGAAGACAACCCAGTCTGTTGATCAAGTAGTACTGTCCATTGCATGAATGTAAAAAACTGGGTCAACACTTTTGTTATTGCTTTCGATCCTGTGTAGTGTAATTGTTTGGCTGATTCGATTTGGAGAATACACGGATTTACTGTATCCTATTTAATGTATTTGTTAGGCTGGAGATGGAATACACAGAGATACTGCCTTTATTGTAATGTGGCTGATTGGCAGATTTACTGTGCTTAAACGAAACAAAATAGCTGCGTAGGTACTCAAATGGTGAGATTAAATCCAAGAGAAGAGAAATTCTGTCATTCTACATCAAAACATAAATTCAAGTCTGTCAAATCTTAAACATGTAGAACAAAAACTGAGAGTACATTCAAAACTATCTCTTTTACTTTTCCTAAACTTTGGAGTCGTTCTCATCTCTTTAGGATGCTGCAGCCAGTATACAGAGGAATGACCAGACGAACCAACCACTTTCCAAGCAACTGCTCCATGCCTCCCAACACCCCCTGCACAAATTATATGCGTTTCAATCAATCTTTAAGACCTAATTTAAGAAGAAATTTGTTCAACAGCCAATAGCAGTTGGATTGAACTCACAGAAGTGGAGCAGGAAAAACTAATAAAGGCAATTCAAATGCATCCACAACCAAAGAGATACAAGATTTTCTCGCCAATTTTCCAGCACAATTGGTTTCCTCAAGTTACCACCAAACATTGGGAATACGTTCTGAAGATCATTAGATTGGGTATTAGAGCTGAATTGTGCTAAACTCTTAGAAGGAATCCTGAGAACTACAACTTCACTTTCAAATATTAGCTAATCGAACCAGACCCAACAAAGATGCTATCGATCTGAATATTCCTTCTAAAACCGGAATCTAAAACCGCAATTGATCTCAAAGGCGCTACAAGTGTTTGGCTCTTTGGAATAAATAAAGACAATGCTCCATGCACCCATCCGAACCCAAAGATAGCAAACAAGAAAACACAAAGACATTTGTCAAATTCCCAGCACGATTCAGTTCCTTTCAAGTTGTCAACCATGGGAGAGGATGCTCAAGATCGTTGTATCAGGTATTAGAGCTGAATTAAGTTTAGCTGGAGGGAAGCCTGGAACTCCAAGCTTATCCTTCAGTCATATCCAAACTACCAGATAGGCCAACAATGCTAATGATGGCATCATTCATATATTCAACATGCATGATGATGAATGAATTTCAACAAAAGTTTTGTACTGAATGCATGTATTCTGCACTACCTCAATTCCCTAAGGCACCAGTCGCTAGATCTACTGGCGTGGAATTATATAAAAAAGGAATCGGACTGTAAGCCCAGGGGAATCGAAGTTTACCTTAGGTGAATCTAACCAGATCCGACGATGATGTTATTGATCGGGATGAAGATGAGCTTGACGAAGAACCCTACGAATCCCATCACCACGAAACCAATCGCCGTTCGCACTGCAACTTTCGAGAATTCTGCGACCACCAAAAACGAAATCGGTAAACAAACCGTGGAATGGCGATAGGTGGCCGCCGCCGAATCGACCGCCGGCGGCTCCAGATCTCGTCAAACGGTACAGTTTGGAAAAGGAAGAATAGGGAAAAGATTTCTTTTACCTTTCCGATCGGGCTTGTGGCAACGCTTCACGAGACGGACGCTGTCCTTGGCGAACTCCCTCAAAGGATCGAAGACGTTGTCGATGGCGTCCATCTCTGATTTTTCTCGATCTCCTCTCTCTCGTTCTCTTTCTCTCTCTTTCTGTCGCGGCGACGGGAAGACCAGTTGAGATGATTTGTTCGCTCTGGACGCGTATTTATCGATTGGCTCGTCACACATGTGGTCACCAAACTTTAGAGTAATTAAGCAACTGGTCATTGTACTCTTATTTTTAACACATTTGTGACCGAATCCTCAGTATAATCCGTATTTCCATTTATATCAACTCATTCGTTTGAGTTATAAGTAAATAGATTGTGGATTAACTTATCAAATCACTCGAATTAATAACAAAATGAGCAACACAATATCAATCGAGCTTACGTTTTAACTCATATTTGATTAAAATAAAATTTGTTTCTTGATCCAATTTTAACATGCACTGTCCAACTCAAATTTGTTCCTTCTCCTATCTAATGTGTATTAAAAAGTATATATTACCTTTCTTTTCTCCTTAGTTTGGATGAGTTGACATATTGCTTGATCAACTGTGCCAACAAAACTTGATTATATCATTATTCTTAAACTTCAGTGGCTAATTTGTGAGGAACTACAACTTTAGTGACTATTTAAGTAGATGATCTTTTTATTCATTTGCTTTCCGTTCCCGTTTGGATACTAATTCCTTTCAAGTTTGTGCAACCACGTCATCTGATAAGACATTAGTATCCTTCTTCAGTACAAAGAATTACAAAACGTGCCACAGTACAGTGGCATTGGTAAATATAATAAGCTCAATAGTCAATACAACAAGGGAGAGAGCAGAGAGTTCAGCAAGTGCGCAATGTGGGAAAGGACCTGAAAGCTTTAGTGAAGCTATGTAAGAATAATATGATATGAACTACCATCACAAGGTTGCATGAACCATGAAGTACTGGGAGACCCTCTATGGTGGTGGGGTTGAATCCTCCGGCTTCTTGTTATTGCGCTGATGAACAGATCGAGGGACGAACGTGAGTCCACGAGGGTTGCGACGACCAAATGATACTGACGAAGGGGTGGAACCGGTGGTCAGGTTGGAGAGTGCTGAAGTTAGGCTATCGACGCTGGCTTCACCTTCTACGTCCATTTTTTGGCTCGTAGTCCCTTCCTCTTCTTCGTCCTCCTCGTGTTTGTGGGTTGTAGCAGCTTGTTTCCGGTGGATCTTCTTCTCCCTTGCTTTCTTGGACGGGTGATGGGCTGCCTTGTTCTTGAAGAAGTCGTATGAAGTTGGGAAGTTATGCTTGTCCACCAAATGCCGCTGCCTGCTCTTGTAGCTCTTGAACTTCAACCCACAGCCTTCCACCAAGCATTCATACTGTTGCAGAAAATCGCAATGATATCAAGCATTAGAAGCATTGTAAGCAAATACCAAAGCCATTTTGGGCAGCATGAAGATACTCATTTAAACTAGGAATGCTGAGGCAAGGAAAGATAGAATTACCATGGGATAACCACGAGCAACTTTAGCCTGGAAGAAGGAATCATGTGCTTCGGAGATATGTATGCTGAGCAGGCGAGAAGTTGGGTATACTTTATAGCACACTGAGCAGGCTGCAGCGTGCTGCGAGTTATAGTGGTTTTCGAAGTTCTCCAGAGATGTCAAACGTGCCCGGCAGCCAACAATGGGACAGAACAGATCCCTGCTCAGAAGCAGATTTTGAGTTTAAAGAAGATGTTAGCACCAAACACAGAAAGAACAGCAATCTACACTTGAAAGTTGACACATGTGAAAGATAAGAAAGTGCATTTGGGAACTATCGGATTAAGGCAAGTCCAAACAGCTTAATCAATTCGTTGTATTACAGAAAAACAAAGCATCAGAAGGTTTGTTTCGGCAAGCATTTGATACGTAAGACAAAACCACATTCATTCATAACAACATCGACAACTCTAATGTATCAGCAAACCTAAGAGACTAACATATTCATCTGCGAGTGAAAGCCAACCGAATATCCCTAACAGCTCAATTGATTTGTTGTATTACAGAAATTCAAAGCATCAGAAGGTTGTTTCTGCAAGCATTTTATACGTAGGACAAAACCACATTCATCCATAACAACATCTGCAACTCTAATGTATCAGCAAACCTAAGAGACTAACATATCCAATTTGTGAATGAAAGCCAATCGAAAATCCTTAACAGAGCAAACTAGAGCTAGCAAATCAATCAAGAAATCAGTATAAGGATCTTCTCTCAAAACTACCAGAACAACAGGAAATGGATCACATCTCTTAATTAGAGAACATACTTGCAGTCATCATCCAGCAGGCGCCATAGTTGATGCTTCTCTTCTTCACCTAAATCCAGTGCAATCTGCAAAATGGAAACACCTAGCTGAAAGCTCAACCATAGCATCAATCCCAAACTCAAAACTCAATTCCATATCTACCGCAGACAAACACGAGTTCCCTCCATTGCATGAGATTAAAAAACAAGGGCAAATGCCATATCAATTGAACAAAAACTTCGAATATTTTCCTTTCCCCGAAGCAATCCTTTCCAAAATGTCCACCTAACTTGACGAAATCACACAGTAAACAAATTCCAAACGCCTTTCCAATTCAAAATCCTGGAGTGGTCCATGAACAAAGAAAAGTCGAGGAATATTTTTGTGTTGCAAACCTGTTTGGCGAGAAGCTCTCGCTCTATGTTGCCGGACTCGAAGAAAGGAGACTCCGGCGCGAAGCGACGACGGACTGGATTCCAACACGGGAAACCGGAGTCGGCCTTCGGATCGACGTCGAGTACCATCATGGCCATGTTGAACAGTCCTCTCCGGACGTCGAGAGAAAGACGGGGGAGAATGGATCGTCGGATTCTTTTGAAGCTCCGTTGATGGGATTTCAAACGGGACGTTGATCGAATTCTTCTGGATTTGTTGTCTTGGGTGACGAGGAAAAAAAAAACTGCCGTTTCATCTTTATTTTTCTAGGATCTGTGAACTTTACCGTTACCTGTCCCTTTTTGTGTCTATTTTTGGGCCTAAACCCATATGAATTTTGCGATGCAAGTTATAAGAGCCCAACTGAACAATCTACTAGGGTCGCAAAAAGCCCAATAGAACTCTTGCTTGCTAATTTTTCTGTCTTCCTTTTACACTTCTTAGAGCCTGGTTTTGAGATAGGAAAGTCAAATAGCTGCACGGCTGCACCAGCAGTGATTTGCAACAACTTGCCACCGATTTTGTCAGGAACCGGTAGATGAATAGTCGTTTTGGAGATTGGTGTGCAAACACTGATAAGTGACTGCACGATGGATCAGTGTATGAAAAGGAAGTTATTAGATTGTCATGTGTCATATGGTGTGAGATGGATTAGATGCATTATGTACATACAACAACTGACTTCTTGCTCTAGGGGGTGTTGTTCTAGATTTAGGTTACCTTTCCCATTCACGAATCACAAAACATGGTACAAATTAGAAAAAAATGATTTGAGAAGGCATGTTATGTTGCACATGTGAATGTCACACCACAACCTATTATAATTTGGTCAAGTTGTCAAGACAGTGAATGAGAATCACACATGAAGGTATAAAAGAATTAGATACCAACTAGGGATAGGTTTTGAGTAAATATATTGATGCAATGATGAATGCATTGAACATGAATTCTTCGTGGAAAAAGTGGCAAATTAGTTGGTAACGTCCTTAATTGTTAGTAAACAACTTCATTGTAATTTAGTATGTTTTTTATGTGAATCCGAATGAATATCAATAACCACTTCTAATGGGTTTGAAAGTTGGCAATGAAGTAGACTATCTGGTTTGCCCGTTTAAGGGAAAGAGACCAAAACACGACCTGATCTTGAAGGTTCATTGTGTTGTTTGCTTCCCATGCCATTCTCATTATTATTTTGCTCACAGAATATCCCTAATTCAATTCAGTCAAGTTTCTCGATGGTAAAAAAAAAAGGGAGGCCATGAACCAAGGTATCCTTGATACCATAACAAATCGCCCGAGCTCCCGCTTCTACCACCCGACAGATACCACGATTCAAGTTTTTATATTTAACATATTTGAAAATAGTCATACGTTAAGACCTATTTCAACCCTTTAAATATTAAGAATTTGGAGAATTAAAAGTCAAAGATTTCTTGATCGAAAACTCTGATATCATATTACGAAACCAATTTAACATTACAACTCGAACTATCGGGAGATGAGTAAAGATCAGTTTCTTATCATTCTCATATCTTAAGAAATCTAGCTAGTTACCAAAGACAAAAATGTTGTACTCTAGAGAAAAGGGAACTAGTATGGTTCAACAGGATTCCAACATATGTAACGGTGTTGGTTGTTAATGTATCCTTAGCTAGTGAAGAATTTTCTCGTAGTCTCATTTACTTTCGATGTTGTAACTTTTGGGGTTAGTTATTTGGTCGTTGTCATTTGTATGTCACAAGCAAACCAATTGGCAGGGTGGTGGCATTATTCCAAACCTAATCCCATCTAGAAAAATAGTAAAATACCCACAAATTGAAAGAAGAAGAAGAAGAAAACTTGTTAAATAAAAACAAAATACAAAAAGCCAAGATGGCTTAGGGAATTTGACTAGTACTATATAAACTACCCTAGCTAAAAACAATGTCGCTCGCCTCTATTATATTAGTAGCCACATTTCCTTTCTGATTGTATTTTTCTTTCTTATAGTATCCTTTTTTTTTCATATTAATTATGGCTCATTTCAATCTAGCCACATGGCTCTCAATGCACAACCCAAAGGATTTTTTGACATTTCTTTTTTGCCTGTGGGCAGTTGCTTGATGATATCGAGGAGACTATCAGAACTTTGATCTCAATGGATTCCATATGTTTCAAATTGTTGATCTCATTCAATTCATTAATGGAGAGGAAATTGCTTATTGAAGGAGACAAAGGTCACAATTCACAAATATAATTAACTAATGAATAAAAGCCTAAGGATGGTTAGCACTTAATATTTATTTTGATGATAAATAAATAAATGTGGCTGAGTGACTCCATAATAATCGCTTGATTAATATTTAATAGTTTATTGTGAGAGGTTGTGTATAATTAGTGTAATATATGTTTATCAACTACGAGCTTTTTGTATAAATATAATAGGTTTCTTTCAACAATTACTTATAAGATTTTTCCCCCGAATTCTCGAATATTTATAATCCACAAATGACAATTTTCAACCGTTTGTACGATGAATTTATTCATTAAAAATAGTTTCAAATAAATGAAATTCCAACATCAGTTAATTAGTAAGGAAAAAAAATACCATTTAATAATTAATTCAAGTTTTGTTTATAACTTTTTATTTGCTTCTCTTCTTTCTTTACCTATAATTTCTCATCTCTATTGGGGAAAACAACCCATTATCAAAGGCAGGTGGGGAAAATGGAGGCTGATTAGCCAAGCCAGATCTAGTCACCATATTAATCCTTCTTTTAATTTCCCCTCTCCCTCCATTTCTTTCATCTATATATATGTCTACTCTCTAGACGACCACTTGAAACCAAAAGAAAAAGAAGGAGAAAGGTCGAGAATGGGATATTCAGCAAGTACTTCCTTCGGTAGTGACATAATTACCACGGCGCCGGCCAGCATCACGATGATCGCCGTGCTTATCATCGCCGTCGGCATATCATCGGCCGCGGGACAAGGGATGTTGAGGGAGAACTTCTACGCCGGGAGTTGCCCGAACGTGGAGGCCGTCGTTCAGCAGGTGGTGGCGACCAAAGCCAGCCAGCAGTTTACGACCATCCCGGCCACTCTCCGCCTCTTCTTCCATGACTGCTTCGTCACCGTAAGTGTTTATTTGCCAAAGAAAAGTCTATGCATGTTGTTTTTTGAGACGAAATGAAAATAGTCTTTTTTTTTATTTTATCTGAACGACAGCTAGCCTGCCTAAATAGTTAGTCCGGCCGGTGAAGGTTAGCAAAATGGCATAGTTAGTTTCTGCATATTTTTCAGTCTTTCATTTCAGAACTTATATCCGATATCATTATTAGCTTGTAGTTAATTTTTTTAATGATGATTAGCATGTGCATACAAATTCAAAATTACATGGTATATATGTGAGTTATCAAGTTATTTTGACGAAAATGAACTAAATATGATGAAATATTTTACATGTTAAAATGAATTACAGAGCAATTGCAGGTAATTTGAGCAAAGTTTTAGTCTTGAGTTCAATAATTGTTAATTGGGGAAACATAGGTATTGTTTGGAATTCCAATAGTAACAACTATAGGGATTTATTTGGTTGGCGTTGGAACTTGGAACGGTCCACCCTTGGACCCAGTTGAGGTCCTTAAGAACTTGATAAGGTTGTTGATTTGAGAACCTTGATTAGGTAAAAAACAGATCATCTAATTCAAAACTATGGTGCAATCTAATTGGTTATGGTAGCAATTAAGGTTAATGATATAAGTGATAGAATATTACTAGAGCCATGATAACATATAATCAAATCGTACATTCTTGTTCCCTATTTCCTATATGATTAAACAGATACGACCAACCAATATGATTTTGTTTTACCAACATGGCATAACTCATTTACTTAGTAGCTTATGTTTTGGGTTGTAGTAATGGCTTATTCAGTTATTCCAACTAATCTCGTTTGGTTTACAGGGCTGCGATGCGTCAGTAATGGTGGCATCACCAAATGGAGATGCGGAGAAAGATGCCGCGGACAACCTTTCCCTCGCCGGTGATGGTTTCGACACAATTGTAAGATCAAAAACTGCGGTGGAAGCCATATGTCCCGGAGTTGTCTCTTGTGCAGACATCATGGCCATTGCCGCTCGTGACGTTGTAGCATTGGTACATTGCCCTAATTTCGCCTCTCTTTTATACTTCTACGCAGACTAAATCTTTGAACTCCTAACTTTAACTGTGGAAAACACTTTCAGGCTGGAGGCCCATCATTTGCAGTGGAACTGGGGCGAAGGGATGGTATGGTTTCCAACGCATCCCTCGTGGCTGGAAACCTGCCCGAGCCCAATTCGACATGATCGCGCTCTCTGGGGCTCACACGCTCGGCTTCTCCCACTGCGACCGCTTTGCCAACCGCCTCTACTCGTTTTCCAAAACATCTACAGTCGATCCTTCCTTGAATGTAACTTATGCTCAGGAGCTTATGAAGGCATGCCCTCAAAACGTGGACCCTAGCATTGCCATCGACATGGACCCCACTACGGCACGGACGTTCGACAATGTGTACTACCAGAATTTGGTTGAAGGCATGGGTTTGTTCACTTCGGATGAGGTGTTGTATTCTAATCCGAGGTCTCAGCCAACTGTGCTGGATTTCGCGAGGAATGCTGGCGATTTCAATGGAGCTTTTTCATTTGCGATGAGGAAGTTGGGGCGAGTCGGGGTGAAGACCGGGAGCCAAGGGAGTATAAGGAGTGACTGCACAAACATAAACTCTTAGAGAAGTAGAACAAAATGCTTCTCCAATGGTGCAATAAGAAGAGGAAAATTCATGATTGTTAGATTTCTCTCATGGAGAGATGTATAGAGATTTATATATATATCGAAAGATTCAAAGGATTGAATAAGAAGATAATGATTTGTCATCACCAATCTGCTTAAACAACACTAGAAAGGAGGGAGAACATATTATAATGTAGGGTACTCTGCCCTTGCCAAAAGAAAGAAGTTGCTTTTTTATGGTGAGAATTTGGATAACTTAACCACCAAAACAAATATAAATTGATGAGACATGAGCAAACATGTAGCAAATTTTACATTGTGCAGGGAAAAATCACAAAGTGGTTGCACTCACTACAAAAAAGCGTGCTATTAGTGACAAAAATTAGCGAGGGCGGGTCAATTTCGTCGCTAAAAATAACTTTTATGGACGACATTTCACTTTCGTCAATAATATTCCGTCAACAAGTTATGTATTTGTGACAAAGTTTAACTTGAAGATATATAATAACTTTTACTTGAGAATATCTCTTGAAAGATTTCATATTTTCTTCATGTTTCTAGGAACTCCTTTGCTCCAACTATACATACACAACATTTCTGATACCGAATAAGTCCGTAAAGAGTATTCAGGCCTAATTCATGTCCTGGAATTTTCATAGAGATGCCAGTAGACGTCCTTGCCACAATACACGAGGATAAAGTTTAAGATAGTTGCAATGACATTGAATTTTGACATGACCATGCAAGTGAGGAAGTAGTACACAGACCTTTCACACTTCAATGTATCATCAACATTGAGAAAGCCTGGAAAGAATTTTCTCCCTGAAATGAAGAACTGTGAGTTAAGTTTGGATTGTGAATTGCGACTTGCTTATCCGCTTCTGAATCATATATGCCACACCTATGACCTATTTTAAGTGTAACTTAATTATACTAGGGTTAAGGAACACTTGATTTAATTATACTAGGTGTCATATTTGCTTATCATTATCATAACCTTAGTATAATTAAGGAGACAGGCCTTGAGTCTATTGGGCTTCACCCGCATAATCTCTAAGGTTCGGCTCCCCGGCGCATCATTTTAACGGGCCTCTTTTGTTGGATTTTCCCGGCCTAACATATTGTGTGGCGGCCCAAATAAGAAACCCCGTCAGATCCCATCGAACGATCCAGAACGAACCCAAATCTCCCGCCATATATAAATCCCTAACTTTCTGCCATTCTGCCGTCACGCCGCTGCCGCCACCGAACAGCTGCGATACCAATCGACACAAAGAACCGAGAAATCCCATCCGCCCGAAGAGAGCTCGCCGGAGAGATGGATCCAGATACAGTGGCGAAGGCGTTCGTCGAACACTACTACTCGACCTTCGACACGAATCGGGCCGGGCTCGTCGGGTTGTACCAGGATGGTTCCATGTTGACGTTCGAGGGCCAGAAGATTCAGGGGGCGCAGAACATCGCCGCCAAGCTCACGAGCCTTCCTTTCGAGCAGTGCAAGCACTCCATCACCACCGTCGATTGCCAGCCTTCGGGACCCGCCGGCGGGATGGTCGTGTTTGTCAGCGGGAATCTGCAATTGGCAGGAGAGCAGCACCCGCTCAAGTTCAGTCAGGTAGTCTGAGTCTCTCGTCGAATTGCTTGCCTGCTCCTAATTGAAGTCTCGCTTTTTCCCTTGTTCTCATTTGGGGTTGTTTGTTCTTCGAATCGCTGCTTGTATTGGACTATTAGTATGGTTGCTTGTATGATCTGGCAGTGCTGTTAACAGTATAGAGTCTGAGAATAACCAAGATACCTAACTTATTTCAGCAAGTGCAATTTGGTTTATTAGATGGAAAGAATGGAACTTTCACCCTTAGAGCTCTAGTTTCCCTTCCAGAAGAAAAGGGTCGATTCCTCAATGGTTGCATCAAGGGGGAATATGGCTACTTTGGACATAGTGGTATACTTGAGAGAAAAATGATGGGGTTTGGAGTAGTGATCTCAATGGATTCAAAGTAGGGAAGTGGAAGCTTTTGAATATGTTTGCTAGGATATTCCTGAATGAGTTGGTCTGTTCATTAGAGATTTCTGACAGGTGATCAATTGCTGGTCAGTGATGACCACATTATGCTTTGCATCTATGCACAGTGCATTGCATATGTCTACTTGATTCTGGAGCGTGGTGGATGGTACAATGTTAAGTTTGTAAAGATTGAGCACTAATAAGTAGACTAGGCTATTTCTACAACTCTCACATAACCTACTTTTCTTGCCTGTTTATAAAATTATCCTATGGGTGAGAAGCTATGATTATCTTGAACAAAATGTAACATCTGGTTAACAAGCTATGATTATTTTAGGAGCATGTAGCTACTAGATAGAAAGGTGATGTATGCTTTAGGTTCATAGAACCTCTGAGAGTTTGTCATTACTTCATTGGCATTCTGCAAACTGCTACATTGATTTAGACATCGATTTCAATGGAACTGCTTAGTATGACTCATGTATATGCACTTGGATCGAATAATGTGGCTATTGTTTTCTTATTTCTTGTTCGAAGTTGGAACATGAAACATCCTACCAGAGTTCCTGCTTTATTTCTATCTGTTAACTACTTAACTGTTTGTGAACGTGTCCTGCTGCAGATGTTTCACTTGATGCCAACTCAAGGAAGTTTCTTTGTGTTCAACGATATCTTCCGTTTGAACTACGCATGAAGACAATGAAAGATCCCTTACGTAAGACGAGAGTCCTGTTATTATGGATTGTGGTCATCTTTTGCTTGAAGACAAGAGAATGGTGTATTTGCTTCCGTTTCCGCCTTCAAATGTTGTTTTTGTTTAATTTTCAATCCACCATGGAACTTTAGCTGGTTTGGATTTTGGTATGCAGATTTGATGATACTTGATAGAATTGTAAAAGCCATTGTACTATCCCCTCTGAAACGGTTGGCTTTTAAGCTGGAAGAGTAGATGTACGTGGAATATTGTTTTCTTCTTGTTCTACTTGTGGAGAGTCGCTGAATGGGTTTCTTTATTCTCCCTTTTGTCTTGCCTTAAGAGGTTTATCTTGGTGAGCTCGTTGTGAAGCTTGAAAATTATAGCTATTTAGTGACATTGTTTAGCTGAGTGAATTTGTTTAGAGAAAGTGGAAAAGAAACAGAATTTGTCTTATGTAGAGGAATTTTACAATGCTTGAAGGCATTGGTTCTTTAGTTTTGTCTTTATGGTATAATTTAAAGTTGTATTTTTAATGTTACAATATAATTTTAGGTTCTATTTATACTCTTTAGTAAAATTCCTTCATGGTACAAACCAAAGTTGTAACTTATGTTATGGTATAATTTGAAGTTGTATCAGAACATAAAGATCAAATTCCCTTATGGTACAATTTCAATTTGTACATTTAACTTTATGGTACAAATTCAAGTTGTACTTTAAAGCATAGTAAAATTTACATGATGGTAGATGGCATGCATACAAGCAATGCATATCAAGAGTTACGAACACAAGGATTAGCCAGGACATTTATTGATGTACCTTAGGAACATTTAAGAGTCAAATTTACATGTCAAACAAGCAAGTCCCTATAGTATAATAGTAATTATTTATGCTTTGTTATATATGTGACACGAGTTTGATCTCCGACAACAATAAATTATGTTTTTATTTTATTTTTACAAAGTAACTATAAATTATACAAACTGATAGCCGAACTCTAAAACAGAGAAGAAACACTTTTTGCTACAGAGGTGGAGTAATCATGGAGATGATCTAGAGATGGAGGAATGGTACATTAGGATTTCCATGTCATAAGCAAAGAGAAAGAAAAGATACTTTGATTGCTCCTTTCTACAGACTGCCAACCACAAAGGAAGCAGTTCCACAAATTTTCCTTTTCCTCGTCCTATTCCTACCTCATTCTCTATTTTTTTTCTTCTTAAAGCAAGGGGTGATCCATTAATAACATTGGTTGGAACACAAGATAATCATGTAATTAGTAAAATATAGAAATTGAGCATGCAATCAAAAGTAAGATTGAAATGTAATGAAGTGAGAGTCCAATCAATTGATTTATATTTCGTTTGTTTTTCGCATGATGCACAACTATTTTAAATACCTCTGGATTACAGATCTTTTCGATAAAACAACATCCTTGTTTCCCTTTTTACTCTTCTACCTTTATCAGCATTTCATTAACATTAGGAAGTTTGGACCCATAGTAGTGCATGTGATTTTGAGCATTTCATAAGGTGGTACAGAAAAAAAGTATGAAACACAATTGCTTGATACCCTCACCTTTCTTTCCTCTTTTCCCCTTTCCCTAACCTTCAATCTTTGTCTCATCTATTATGAGCCTCATCATCATCCTCTAATAAACCAAAGTTTCTCAACCCATTTATAAACCCCCACATAACTTCATCCTAGAGAAAGTGAACAGAGGGCAACTCAATACCAGAAGAAGGAAACAAGAAAATTCTACAAAAGGAAAGGGAAGGGAATGGAAAAAATGATAGACTGGGGGCCAGTGTTCATTGCAGTGATGCTGTTCATAATCCTAACACCAGGCTTGCTCATCCAGCTCCCTGGCAATGCCAGATATGTGGAGTTCAGCAACTTCCAGACCAGTGGGGCTTCAGTTCTGGTTCATGCCGTTCTTTACTTCTGTTTTATGTGCATTTTCTTGCTGGCTGCTAGTATCCATATGTATATAGGTGCTTGATAATTTGGTTAAGCTAAGTACTTCCCATTAATGCTGGTTTTGGTATTGTTTTGGCTTCATTCATTACAGATTGATATGGGGGAAAGAATGAGAACCCCTTTCTCTCAATTGGCATTTTCTGATGTGTTTTCTTTTCGTTTGGTGCAAGTTAAACTTTTTGTTTGTATACAAGAATTTAGAGTTGTAAGGTAAAAAGAATGATGCTCTTGATTGTAACTCTTGAATTCAGTGTGAAGTGTGTACATTTGGTGGTTGTGAAGGTAATTGTTTCAATCTTTGCCTATTATGGTATCAATATAAGTTAGAATTAAGAGGATTGAACTTGGATCAAACTCTATTGAGAAACATACTTTTAAGAATACTGCTAGTCTACTAATCAAATCCGCAAAAGATTGTTCCATTTGCTTGACAAGATTACAGGACATAAACCTACAAGGCATAAAGAGCAAAGAAATAACACCAGTATAAGAATCCAAAATCATCCAACAAAATCAAGGGGAGTTGGAATTCTTCTTCTGTGAATTACTACAACAATTACTACTAACTTAGGCATAGAGGTGAGCATTGAGAACAACAAGGAACAAGATGAGCAGCAGACCATAGATGAGCCAGTGAACAAACATGGAAGGGAAACTTGTCTTCATGTTCATGAAATCCACTGGCCTATGCTTCCCAGGGATCTGAAGCAGCAACCCAGGTTGCAGGAATGCAAACAAAGCTGCTGCTATAAGAGGTGCTGCCCAGTCATGCATCTTTTAAACCTCTCAAGAGCTGAAGAACCAAACTGAAGTTGAAGAAAGAAGTTGCAGTAGAAGAGAAGGCAAACTAAGGCTGAAGAATGAAAGACTATAGACTATAGTTATAAGGACTTGCCCTTTTCTTGGGTTGGTGCTCTTTCCAAATAGAAGTACTAATTGAGGGCAACAAGCCAATAAAACTATAAGAAGATTGGGGAATGGAATATGATTCCCCATGAAACAAGGGATTGAATTTGTTCCATTTTGAGACTTTTTATCATGTGCATTTTCAAGAGGCAAAAGGGCATATTTTTATGGCAAAATACCCTTGCATAGCCAAAACTTTCACCTTTGTGCCACTTATAGCCACATTTGGCGAAATACCACTAATAGCCACTTCCGTCCGATTCTTTAACGCTGTTAACGTTAAGTGTGACTGGACAAACGGAGATGCTGACGTGGCAAACTCTTACCTTCAATTTTGTTTGTAAATATACACGTGGATTTATGAAATAAAAAAAATAAAATTTAAAAGCCCTCATCTGTACATTCCCAACTGCTCTTATCTCTTAGTCTCTTACCACCACTCATCTCTTCGCCTTCAAAGCATGTCGTCGGATCCGTCCAACTCCGACCAAAATCATTCTCCGCTTCTCTCTCTAGATGAGGGTGTTACTCAATAGGGCTCGTTCGGATAAGGAGGAGATGAGGTTAGGATTTTGGGAAGACGAAGAGAATCCACCGCCGCCCAAATCCCCCTTTCTCCGAAACAATCTCCGGCTCCAGCAACTCTCAAACCCTCTCCGCATGCAGCCGCCTCCAAAATCCTCTTCGCCAGACCTTTCCACCGCCCTCCGATTACAGCCTATCCACGACATCGACGTCATCGACAGATCGCAAATCTGGTGGCAAATCTGGTCTCAATTAAAGGAAGAGAAAGTATGAGGGGTAACTGTTGGTTCTGGGTTTCGTTGCCGCCCTCAAAATCCCTGCCAACGGAGCCTACTCTAGCACTTTAGATCTCGTCCCGGCGACGGGGGTTCTGGGATACCAATAGATCAAAACCCTAGCCTCTATCAATCCCCCAACCCACCAATACTCCATCTATCTCACTTCTCTGCCGCTTCGCCTCCTCCCCTTCCCGAATCGATCAAGGCGGTGACGTCGTCTATGGGGAGAGAGACTCGTGACACGACGACGAGATCTGGTCTCACCATCCAAAGTGTTGGAGCAGCCGTCGTCGTACCTGGAGTCTGTGTGCGTGTAAGCAGAGAGAGGAAGAGAAGGGGAAAGAAGATTGAACAGGGCGGAGGAGAAAGGGGAGGAGATGGTTGGCTTGATTCTGGGGATGACTGTGCGGGGTGAGGAGGAGCTACAAGGGAAACGTGGGATTGGATTGTTGGGGACGAGTGGAGGTACAGGGGAAGTGAGGATTTGGATGATTTTTGGGGAAGATTTTTGTGGGATTTGAAGAGGAAGAAGACGGAATATATTGGGGCAACGCAGTGGGAATGGAATGAAAGGAAAGGTTTTTTTTTTTTGGTTTTTTATATTTTAATGTAGTAATTAAATATTAAATAATTAAAATATCTGACGTGTCACTGTTTGCTGATTTGGCGCTGACGTGTCTGCTGATTTGGCGCCTCGTCAGCCAACCGTCAAATAAGTTGACGGAGTTATTAACACCGTCAAAGTTTCTAACGGAAATGGCTATATCTGGCACACAACATCTTTCAAAAGTGGCTATTAGTGGTATTTCGCCAAATGTGGCTATAAGTGGCACAACGGTGAAAGTTTTGGCTATGCAAGTGTATTTTGCCTATTTTTATTCCCAATTCTTTGATTATCTAATTCATTTCCTCACCCATTCTTTCCCCCCTTGAGATGATCAATGCTAGGGAGACATGTAATGTGTGTATGAGTATGGTTGGTCAGTTTATACTGTAATGGCTACATCATCACCTTCCATTATTTTAACATCATTAAATCAAGAACTTTACTGTAAAAGGAGGTGTGGATGAAGAAAGAACATAGGAATCACTGATCAGTATAGGGAGATGGATGGGGAAAAGAGTGATGATGGTTAGTAGGCCACCCAACTGTCCCTCCTATCCTTTGCTGCCAATTAGTGCTAAGCTGTGGTGGCATTCTTGCTTTGTATCACATTTGTTTAAAGATAGGATTATGAACACCTTTCCTTTTGTTTCAACTATTGCATCATCCACATGTTGTTTGAAAGACAATCTTGTGGTCGATCGTTTTCCTCATTTTCAGCATAGTGGGTTGTTACATTTCCTTGAGATTGAATCTATGAAAATTATATTAACCGTGCTTGTGATGATGATGATCATGCTGAGATGGGAACGACAGCTACTTGCTCTCTTAGGTTTTAGCTTACCGATATTGGACATTATATTAGTTTCCGCTTATCAGTTTCGTGAGAAACTATTTCTTAAATCACGATGCACCAGCTTCCTGTTCAATAATCAATCATGAGTTGCTTCGAAGTCTTCGACTTCCTTATGGGTTGCCTAACAAGAATAACACATTTTAAATCATGTGTGACGATTTGCATAGTGAACTCGTTGATATATTACAAGTTATGTACTAGTAATTTGGATATCTAACACAATTTTCTATCATTACTGTCAATTTGATGATAAAAAGAATGTCACGCCAATACAAAAATGCTTTATTACATTGCTAAAACCAAAGTGACAAAATAAGCGAGTTTGGTGTTTTAGTTGTTTCAAGAGGACTTTAAGACCCATACATTATGCAACATATATGGACAGGTTTGGTGGCAATTTTGGTCAATAACCCAAGTCTTTACTTGATCTTGACATAATTAGAGCTAAGGGTCATCTTTGTACAAGTCGGTCTAGAATCGGATCGAATTAAGATAATACCGTATCAAAATTAAAGGAAATTGTGAACTAAAAATGGACAAAAACATATTTGATTTATTTGGTTTGAATCTATCCATTCTAAATTAATTTATGTGTGCTTTTTCATAATTAAAATAATTTATAGGATGAAAATCAAATCACAATACATTCAATTCAATCCAAATATAGATTCAATACAATTCAACCCATTATAGACCGGATCATTTGCTCACCTCTAGTTACTAGAGCATAGCCAAGCCATTTAGCAAGTTAAACCAAGACAAATACCACAGGACAAATTGGGGAGATCTCCTTCCTACTACTCAACACATTTTCCCTTTTCCCCCGACTTACTCAAGTTCCCATACTCTTCTAGTGTCTAGCCCAGAGGAAATCCCTTTCTCATTTTTCTCCCGACTCCCATCCTTATCAGCTGCCAGTCAGTCACTCGCCGCTTCATTCTTAACTCTTAAGCTAAACCCCCCTTTTCTTTCTTTCTTCTTCTTCTTCTTCAGTTTTATTCCATCTCTTTACATTTCCAAGCTTTTCCCTTTCCCTCAATAATGGCAGACTGGGGCCCGATCTTGATAGGAGTAGTCCTATTCCTGCTACTCACCCCAGGGCTTCTCTTCCAGCTACCAGGAAACAACAAGCAGCTCGAGTTTGGAAGCATGAAGACTAATGGAAAATCGATCGCCGTACACACTCTCATCTTCTTCACTCTGTATGCTATCCTCACCATGGCTGTTCATATCCACATCTATACTGGCTGACACAAATCTGGCCATTTGGGGTTCTGTGTTTTTTAGTAATGATCTGTGCTTTCCTCTCTTTTTGGGGTATGATTATCGGCAAATTTGTTGGGGGTAGAGAAAAGTGGATAAGGTCCTGTCTTTATGTTCTTCTTATGTTGTTTATAACCTGTAATGTATGGATAGACGCTTGGAGGAGTTGAATAAAGCAAATATGGAGCAGAGATCTTCTCTCATCTGTGTCTCCTTTTCAGTTTCTGTATCAGGTGTTCCCTTTACTTGCTCTTCGGGTTTGACTAAGGCTGAAGTTGGGATCTTTGAGTTACTTGGAACAATCATTTTTCGAAGTCAGTTTAGTTCAATTCTTGAGGAGTTCTTTCTGTTTATGTGGACAAATATAGCATAGAGAGAGCAATACTGAATCTGCAGCTATTTGAGAATTAGAGTCAAAACTTTTGCAGGCATATAGAGTGAAACAAGCACCAATTAAGATCTAAGGTTACTTTTATTGGGAAATGAGATATGAGATCTGCTAATGCCAAGGGCCATTAGCACCAAACTAAGTTAAAATATGAACATCTTAGATCCACATAGACCCAAAAATTTGCTGAGTAGGTAAAGAAGGCTGAGCATTGTTAAGAGAGGGAGAGAGGGAGGAAGGAGAGGTAGTTGACATTATTCTTATATTCCAATTGTGAGGCCTGCCTTGTGAAAAAAACAAAAAGAACTCAAAAACCTGTTGCTTTGGACAATTGCTGTTGTCTCTGTGATAACTTAGCAGAAGATGAAGGAAGAAGACACCCATAACAAGAAACTGAAGAGGTAATAAAACCTCTTGTTACAGAGCAAAAAAGAAGGTAACTTGGTTTTCCTTAATCAATTGATATGTACATGGATGCCAATGGCGACTACCAAGATGGTGATGATGCAGAAGTAAATGATGGCATGGACCAGAATGGCTATCCCGCTCGTGCTGAGGTTCCCAAACTCCACCACCCTTGTCCTTGCAGGTAGCTGGAACAGGAGCCCGGGCGATAGCAGGATGAACAAAGCCACCGCTACAATCACTGGTCCCCAATCCGCACCCCCCATGTTGGGGATCCCTAATATGCCCGTCGTTGCTTGCTTCTCAATCAACCTTGCTGAAGAATGCTGCCTGAAGCCCTGAACTCTTCTGGTATATCAAACTCTCTCTATCTCTTTCAGGAAAGATAATAATGAAATGTTTAAGAGGCAATGCTGTTTGTGTCAAATATGTAGGGAACTGAGGAGATGAACAGAAGTAAGTAATGTGTCTTCCTTGGTGATTAAGGAGGCTATGGAGGGGATGCGAAACTTAGTGCGAAAGCAGAGTGAAAAACAATGGAGGGGGAAGGTATATGTGTGTATGTAGAGAGATTTTGTAGTGGGATTCCTTTAAAGCAGCAAAAGAGAAAAAGGATGAAACTTTAGTGTCTCAATTATACCAAATATTGTTAACTTGAAGACTGTCTTTTCTGTCTTCCTTTGCTTCTTTGTGATTGCTTTAGGAGTTGATGGAGAATGGTGGCTTTATTAAAGCGAATATGGCTACAAAGAAAGAAAGAAGCCAGCTTGTGAAATGTGCAGAGCAGCAGAGGTGTAAAGTTCATCGTCCAGGAAGGTGTGAGTTTCTGAATTTGCTTCATTGTCTGGAATTTGGTAGGGATTTCTCAGTTTCCTCTTTGAATTTTGAATCTTTTTTTCTGTGAGCAGGCTTAAAAGTCTTTAGCTTTGAAGGGTTCTAGTTCTTTATGTATATGAAGGAGCCTGTTCTGTACTCCACTCCAATCCAAATGCTTCTCATTTTCAAGCCAAAACTAGTCTGTATGTGTCTTTCTGCCTGTATCATTTTTAGTGAGACACCTCTATCTTATAAGGCTCTCAAGGCCACATTGATGATGCACCTCCGATTCGTGACATGCAGTACACTAGGAAAAAATCCCACTGTACACACGTTCTTAAAAAAAATTCCCAAAATACATAAGTTATAAAATTTTTTCCCAAAGTACACATGTTTGGCATTCACCGTTTTTGACAAACGCAGTGATGGTGTTCACCGCGTTTGTCAAAGACGGTGAATATTTCACCGTTTAAAACCAAAACGGTGAAGTATTCACCGCCTTTATCTAAAACGGTGATGTATTCACCGCGTTTGGTGAGGACGGTGAATACATCACCGTTTTAGTTGACAACGGTGAATACATTCACCGTTGTTGGGTAACGCGGTGATTGTTTCCCACGTTTCCCACCCCTGGTAGGTCAAAATTAGGTCACACCTACCTATTATTCACCGTTTGAGACAAACGCGGTGATGGTGTTCACCGTTTTTAACAAAAACGGTGAATAGTAGGCAGATTTTCCTATAAATACCAGCCCACCAGCAGAAGTAAAAACATAACCACTCCCCCCTTCTTCAAATTTCAGCAACAAAAATCGAGCATAATACACAGAACAGACATTTTTCGGTATGTTGAGACTTTTCGTATTATAGTCTAATTATGTTTTTAGTAGTTATAGTATGATTAAATTTTCGTATTATGTTGTTGTTAGTTAGTTGAATTTATGTTCGTTAGTTATAGTATGATTTAATTTTCGTATTATGTTGTTGTTAGTTAGTTGAATTTATGTTCGTTAGTTATGAGATGGATAATATTAGTTGTACAATATGATTTTGGTTAATTTTACTGTCTTTAAGCTAATAGATACTTATCCTCGATTTGTAGATATGGGTAAATTCAAGAAGTTTCATCTTACTATTCGGTGGAATGGAAGGGTGACAAACTCTGACATAGGCATTGATTATGAGGACGGCGAATCCATTATGCTGAAAATTGATTCCCGATTCAATTTTCAAGAACTCTGTGATCTTTGTGCAGAAAGGGTTTGTACGAGCGGACAGAGGAGACTTGGCAAAATTACTTACCGGTATCCAGACATGAGTGCTGGCGGGGTCGTGTTCCAAGAAGTTGTCATAAACGATGATGACGCGGTTACGATGATGTTACAGTTTCTAAGCGATAACCAAGTTCGGCTTGTAGAGGTGTATGTTGAGACCGAGGCGGTCGGTGAATCTCATTCTCACCAGTATTCTTATGATGATGGTTTTGCAGGAGGGTACGAATGGGGTGGTAGTTCGAGCAACTACCAAGGCGGTGGTTATACAGGAGGTTACGGGGAGGGTGGTGGTTCAATCAACTACGGTGGATCGAGTAGTGCAGGATGGGACAAATACTCGCAACCTCCTCAACCAGCCGATGGTGTTGAATGGCCTGCTTGGGGGCCAGAGTGGTCTGAAATCGAGAATAACATTCGATCAGGGCGTACTTCACATGAGCGAGAGGACGATGTTGGTGATCGTGGTCATGTTGATCCTTCTAGCCCGAGCTATCCATTCGAGTCGAGCGACGAGGATACTGAGGAAGATTTGAGATCAGTGAGCGAGGAGGAGGAAGATACTGATGATAACGAGGATGAGGCGGCATTTCGTGAGGCACCTACGCCATATTACACACAGGTTCCAACTCAATTTTTACATAGTCAGAATGATCCCCCCGACTTTGTCCCTATGCCAGTGTACAATCCGACGGCCAATTTGGAGGTGGGTATGGCGTTCACATCGAAAGACGCTGTGCATGATGCTTTTACAGAAGAGGCGTTGAGACGCAATTTCGAGGGAGAAAGAAGTGAAATGTTGGTGGGGTGAGTTGAAAGTGAAAGGGGGAGGGGGTATTTATAGTTGGGGGAAGGGGGGGAGGAGCTGATGCGCAGTAATTAGGGGAAGCGTTCACCGCGTTTGATGAAAGCGGTGAAGGCTTCGCGTTCCCCCAAAACGGTTCCCCCGTCCACGTGGCCTGCTGTGAGGCGTCGGATCGTGGGAAGAAAACCACGATCCGCGCCTCACCGCATCTAACGGCCACGGTGAAAACACAATGGCGCGGATCGCTGACGTAAACAAACACGAGGTATTCACCGTATTTGTCTACCGCGGTGAATGCCCCGCGTTTGTCCACGTCAGCGCCTTCACCGCGTTTAATTAAAACGGTGAAGATATCACCGTTTTAAACTAAAACGGTGATATCTTCACCGTTTCCTTTTAAAACGGTGATGCATTCACCGTTTTTTACTAAGACGGTGAAGCTATCACCGTTTTAGTTAAAAACGGTGAATGCATCACCGTTTTAAATAAACGCGGTGATTATCTTCACCGCTGTTGTCAAAAACGGTGATGCTCAAACATGTGTACTTTTGGAAATTTTTTTATAACTTATGTATTTTGGGAATTTTTTTTACGAATGTGTGTACTTTGGGATTTTTCCCAGTACACTATACTCGTTTGTAAATGGTTTACAAATTTTTAATAATGTAGTAATGTACTTGAAATTTAGGGTGTGGCAGTGGTACTGGTATAGACAGTTATTCACCCTCTCTGTTTGATGGAGGAAGCTCAAATGTGACTTTTACAATAGCCCAAAAGAAGAAGTGGTCTTGGGTAGAAGCTTATGAAACCATTATAGTGGACTTGGGAAAGCTGAAGTGGGCCTTGATTCCTTCTAAGGCTCCATTTTAATTTCCGGGTCAGAAGTCTACATGGCTTGGGCTTTCGTTGATCCACTAAGAACATAGTTTGCACTTTGCAGTTGTAGTAGGAGCGTAGCTCCACAAACCATAGCCATGTTTGAACCGATGAATGGAAACAATCAAACAAAGAAACAAAACCAACAGCCTCGGTTCTGTCATTCTTTAGTACACATCGTTACTTGCATTCACATCTCGGTATGAAAGCTGGACTTCGTACTTGTCGCATGCCAATAGAATATAGAGTAACGTCTTTGGATGTGTATGGGGGGAGTTCAAGACACAAGGAACAAACAGAAAAGCAGATAACCAAGTGAATCAAACTCTCAAATCACAGAAAAATTTGTTGCTCATCATGTTAACTCGTGTTCCTAATAGATCAGAACGGATTATGATGTTGGCCTGATACTAATACCGATAAATGACTGACCGCTAGATTCGTGATAACTCGTAATTTATCTATGAAAGCAGACCGCCGATAGTAAAATATCTCTTCAAATAGATGAAGCTACTATTAAAGAAATGAAGGAACAGAACACCCTAAGCTGCGAAACATATCTTGATTCGGCCAAAGGAAAAACAAATCTGCCGTCCGTCCTCTAGGCTGAATATTGTTGTCGTCTTGAATGCATCGCCATTCCCATCTATGTTCCCCCTTTTGGCTTTTGCAGGCTTCTTTCTCCCTGGCTCCTATCACTATTTGTATCTCGGCAAACCAACCCATTCTTCTTCCTCCTCCTCTGTCTTTCGCTCTCTGTCAATCCGACAGTACTACATTTCATTTTTACACGTGGGGTTGTTTTGATCATTTGAGTCGAGGAAGAAAGAGATGGCGGATTGGGGGCCGGTGCTAATCGCGACGATCCTGTTCGTCATACTGACGCCAGGGCTGCTCTGCCAGATCCCTGGAAACGGCAAGGTGATCGGTCTCTGCAACTTCCAGACCAGTCCGGTTTCTATTTTGGTCCACACCATCATCTTCTTTGGTCTCATCACCATCTTCCTCATCGCCGTGGGAGTCCACATCTACACTGGTTGATTGAAGTCTGAAGATGATCTCCAAAGGTCGAACTCAGGATGGATGGATTGCAGTCCATTATTATTGAGACCAATCACTTGAGATCCTGGTGCACTTATGGCTTTTTCAGAAGTAAATTTTGGGGGGAAGAGATGCTGATGTTATTGTTATGCCTTGTTGAATTTCCTGCTTGCATTTCTACTAGTGGTGTTTGGCTTTTTTTTTCCCCCCATGTTGTCTCTCCCCTCCCTCCCTTCCTTCCATGGCTATTGGCTTGTATCCTTATTTGTATTAAGTGTATGGTGTCATTCATGTGATTTTAGTGGAGGTTATGAGTAATTATTTGCACAACGAATTATGGCAATGGGCAAAATTTAGATGGATTAAATTATTAAAATGCCGTTGTTGGATTGAGAAAATTTAAGAAAGATATTGTGTTGATTATGTCCTTCCAACGATAACTTGATATTACATTAACATACCGTTTGGTATAAATAAATTCCATAAGTTTTTAGAAATTCATTTGGAAATTACACATTTTTATGTTTGGTATTTAAAAGAATTCATTTTAAATTCTAAATTTTGAATTCTATGAAATAGTTATAGCAATTCCGAGGAATTTAGTTGGAATTTTCAAATGAATTCCACAAATATTTACTAATTATAATAAAATGACATAATTATCCTCTTTTATTAACTAAATTACTTATACATATGACATACCAAACACAAAAATTCATTTGACAATGAACTCGTCACTGCAATTCATTTTATTTCTAACGATTTGAATATGACATATCAAACACAAGATTTCATTTAACAATGAATTTTACACGGTAATTCATTTTACAATGAAATTAATTATCGATTCAATTGGTACCAAACGATTTGTAAAAAAAAAAAGTTGAAACGTTGAAAATTTCATAATTCCGTCAATATAAATTCTCCATTATATTCCATACATTAAAATCAATTAGATGTTTTCACTTGATGAACTTAAACACAATTCGGCCGCTTAAATTTGTTTGTCTAAATGAACCTAAACTATTCCACAATCATAAAATTGGAAATAGTGACCAAACTTCCTATCTGAAGCAGATAAGTTATTCCACAATCAATTAGATAACGCTTATTGGCTGAAATTGGGCCGACCTGCTAGCGATGGGCTCTTAGATGTTTTGAGCCCAACAGTAAAGACTTGAGGGAGGCGGCATTCAGCCATTATGATTAGGCCACTCCTCGGGTCGTCGAGGATTGGTTCGTTTGGCGGGCTAAAGCCGGTTGGTTGCAGCTTTTTCTAATTGATTTATATCAACTGCGGCCTCCGATGCATTGGAAAGGCGTAAGCCAACAAGTCGGTCGGGAACGAGAAGCTTTTGGTTTAATGCATTGGCAATGGCATGTGCTGCTGCTGTTTCGGTCCTCGGACTCCTTAAAATGGCGCAACCCACGGCCAGGCGCCACGAGGACAAAATAAAAAGTAGTTTTAAGACAAGTTAGGATGGAAATCGAACCGAACGCGTACTCATCCATGTAAGTTGAAATTCAGTCTTCGGACTCCTTAGCGCAGCCCAAAATACTTTTAAACTACACTATCTACAATAAAAACTTAATTGATCACATAACAACTTTATACACATGACATACACCACTTCCCTTACATACATATATAACCAATGTAGTCAAAAGCGTGTTTCTTTGTTGAAGCATTTTAGTGATCTGGAAGCGTAAAATCGTAAGTTTTTAAGCTTTAAAAAGCGTTTTTAACTACATCAGCTATAAGAACTGTGATCTTACATAGAAGCGTTTTGATGACCTAAAAACATAAAAAAAAAAAAAATTGATTTTTAAACTTTAAAACGCAATTTTGACTACATTGCATATAACAATACCAAATACATCATACATATAATACTTCAATAATAGTACACAGTTTTATTACAATTGAAAGCCCACAATTCCAAGGTGGGACTTTTCAGACCTGCGACGTGGCAATGTCAGCCACATGTGGCACACCTTTTTCTTACACATCATATATACCATGGACAGCAGCAAGCAGGTACCGCTGCTGTTTGCCATCTTTTTTGCCCCACAAATCTCTTTATTCACTTGTAGAAGTACACACCCCAAGGCAGGGCGGCTGGGGCTTATGTCACGCACTCAAAATCGCAAAACTATTAGGGGAAAATAGTACAAATACCATCAACCTTTCTTTTGATGGGGGATTGCACCATCTTCTAGTAGTAATAAATAGTTCCAAATAGGCGGTGGCAAAAGAAGCAGATGACCCGAGGGAATGCTTCTTTCTTGCCATGCAGTTTGTTTCTGATGGTCAGAAGAAGTGAAGGACGCCCTTCTGGAAGGCATCCCTCTGGAGCAGAGAGGCAGGAGAAGGGCCAGATCCACCACCATTGCTAACGTTGTTATCATTTGTTGTAGGAGGTTGGTGATTGTTTAGATGCATACCCATGAGGAAAAGTGGGTTCTGTTGATGATGCTGCAATTGCTGGATTGGGATGATGCTGGATCCTCCACCATTGCTGTTGTTCAGGTGCATGCCCATCAGGAGAAGTTGTTGCTGCTGATCGGGGTCTTGAATGGCTTCCAATTCCTGTTCCTGCTGCTGCTGATTCTGATTGTGGTTCTGGTGGTTGGTCATGGCTGAGAGCTGTTGTGGTGGAAGTCAGGTCATGTCATGTCATAACAAGGCAAGAAATAACAGAGATGGTGAAAGAATTGTTGGAAGTGTTATTTTTCCTGTATTGCATGCAAGTTTCCAGAACTGAACTGGTGGGGTTCTTGTGTCTGTTTTTAACTTTTGTTGATTGCTAATTGTTACCTCATTTTCCATCAGCAGGTTTTCTGTAGGGAGGGAGATTTCCTGCACAAAATGAAAGGGGGCTTTATGGAGTTAGAAGCAAATTGGAAGAGCAAAGCACCTATTGAGGTATGATCATGGATTCTCCGAAGTTTAGTTTACTACTAGCCTTACTTGCTTTGAAAACCTTTAGAATCTAGTTAATTGAAGCAAGATAGTATGCAGTATGCCAGTATATAAGAGAAAATAGTATAAGAAGTTGCTTCAGGGGAAAAAGGAAACTTGCACCTTTTTTGCAGTTCTTAGATCACAACACTACAATAATTAGAACCCTATTTCTTTTTTCCCTTGCTTCCGATTGCATGGGAAAAATGCTTATACAACACTACTTGCAAAATCAACTGTGGGGAATATAACTTGATCTTAACATCAATTCCATTTTCCTTATTTTTACTTTCATTTCTATCCTTATGACCTTCATTCATTAGGATTTCACAAAGGACCAAATTATCTATGCCCCACTTGCTCTCTCGCTTACACAGAGGAGAGGACCACCTCCCTTTCCTTTCCCATGATTACACCAAAAACATAAATATGGCGTAGGGTTAAAAACTTAAAATCCATAGCTATGTTTCTATTCTCTGCAAATCTCATATTCAACGTTGTTTCTCTCGTATGCATAGAAACTCAAAACCCTAGTCATAGACCCTCAAGATCAACATTCGTCAAGTCACCTACCACATTTCATGACAATTTCTTTCTACTTCCGGAACTCAGAAGCTCTTTCAAGGCTTTAATATGCATAATCAGAACAAAACTTTACTGTTCTTGTTTCCAGTTTTCTTTTAATGAATTCTTTGTGGTTGGTGTACCTGATACAACATATGCATAACAAGAAAAGACTTATTGAGGGGCAATGACTAAAAAGAAAATATAACTAAAGCGAGAAGTGTATGGATACCTGCTGCTGAAGGCTTGAAACGGCTTCAATCATTAGCTCCGTCTACAGAAGACAGTCAAATAATTTTAAAAATGATGTTTGACATCACATTGGAACATTTCAATAGACAGGATAAACAAATATGACAACTGGAAGTCACAGAGTAGGCACAGAGAAGAAAGATAGGTGTTTCATTTTTGAATTAGGATGAACCAATAGCTTTAGGAAGAAGTACAATCTAAAGCAGGGGCTGCAGGGTGCTTTCTCAATCACTGTCTTACGCCTCATTGCCTTATTTGATTACGACATAGCTTTGGAGCTCCTAGCTAGACAGAGGGATATAAGTAAAATCGTTGAACCTATTCTAAACTCTAAAGCAAGTTTCCTAGAAAAAGGCGTACTAGATTTGTGCTTGAAAACTGACCTTTCGAACTTGGGCCTCCCTGAGCAAGGACTGCAGGTTCCTCTCTAGTTGCATGACTTGAGTAGAATCTAGCTGCTCAACAGTCTTTGCTTCCACGTGCCTGCACAAAGTATCTGCAGATTAGGAACATATAGTTGTAGTCACAATACAAAGAAGTCTTGTAGGTTTGGCATGATGGTTACTTCTGAACATTCTGCAGCAAGTCAGGACCAGCCTCGGGAGACCTGCATGCTGACAGCTGCTTCTGCAGGATTAGACAAAGTGAAAGGATGAGAAATTGGCAATGAAAAATTGTGAATCTTAGATACTCCTACTATGCCATGCTAGACCGAAAACAGTTGGGGAAGTTTCACTGAATGGAATCTAGAAACTAGGCCTATCTAAGGTTTTGTCCTCACAAGAATCAGCCGAGGCTTTCTGCTTGTGTTTGATATCCTGATAAACCTGATCCTCATGATTTTCAGAGTAGCAGGAAGAAGGTTCATAGTAAGCAGCAATAACTGAAGTGACCTATAAATAGTAGTACAACCATGTAGTCGGTCTAGGGTTAAAGATGGGAAATATAAAGCGAGTGGCCTACCAAGAGTTCAAATTTTGGAGTCATTTCTCGGCTTATTCAAGTATGGATTGCTCTTAACGATAATGAGAGATAAAAACATCCAATTCACCACAGTTCAATCCTGGATAAAAAAATATCTATAACACAAATTATCATCCATGAAAAGAAAAAATAAAGGAAAAATATGACATGGATTATCAAAATGGCATCCCTGGGGGTTTATGAATTATGACAAAAAAGAAAGAGGACCACCCGCTTCCAAAGGATTCACCTTTTGTGC